AGTGTTCAGTATTTTATTGTGGTTTTAGTCAGTACAAAGTTTGAGGCCAATCAGATAAATAAAAGTCTTAAATTGTGTGAGCAGAATAAAATTGTAAATATTAAAAAAAACCTAAAACATATACTGATGACGTCATCGTGACGTCATTTCAGATTTTGAGTACTAGCACTATTATCTACATACCTACCAAGTTTCATGACAATCGACCATTCCTTTATATGTGTTTAAAAAATCACATTTTTGATGACGTCATAATGACGTCACACAATTTTCGCAATTTTGTCAATATACCTGTTACCTAACAAACATAATACAAAAACAATTTTGAATTAAGCATATTGCGTTAATCGCTTAAATGTCCAAAACTTCAAAAATCGATATAAAGTGAAGTTTCAAACTTTCACTTCTTAAACTTCAATCCCAAGATCTTCCTTCAATCTCAAAAATTTACAATTTGTTTCTTAGATTCACTTATTAATCACCAGATCTTCAATTTGACATCAAAATGCACAAGTAGTAATTCACATTAAGTTTTATCAATTTTCTCTTCTGTTTAAGTTGAAACCTCTCTGTTTCTATATTAATCTCACTTTACTCTTAAAGTAACACTTTTTCAATTTTTTGTTCAAACACTTCTTTTATTTTTTTGTTCAAACACTTCTTTAATTTTGTTTACAACACTTGTTCAATTTTGGTTCAAACACTTCTTCAATTTTGGTACAAACACTTCTTTAATGTTGGTTCAAACACTTCTTTAATGTTGGTTCAAACACTTCTTTAAGTTTGGTTCAAACACTTCTTCAATTTTGGTTCAAACACTTCTTCAATTTTGGTTTAAACACATCTTCAATTTTGGTTCAAACACTTCTTGAATTTTGGTACAAACACTTCTTTAATGTTGGTTCAAACACTTCTTTAATGTTGGTTCAAACACTTCTTTAAGTTTGGTTCAAACACTTCTTCAATTTTGGTTCAAACACTTCTTCAATTTTGGTTTAAACACATCTTCAATTTTGGTTCAAACACTTCTTGAATTTTGGTTCAAGCACTTCTTCAATTTTGGTTCAAACACTTCTTGAATCTTGGTCAAACTTGCTTTTTTTTCTGTATTAATCTTAAGTTATTTAACTCTTTCAGTGCCCACGAAATTAAAAAAGTTGAACCCTAAAGTGCCAAACTTCGAGCGTTTATTTTAATTGTTCAAAATTCTGTAAAAAAAAGTAACTAGAGGTTGTAGGAACAACCACACAGTGTTGGGCCATTGTTGATATTGACGTTGATGTTGATTGTTGATTGTTGATGTTGACGTTGATTGTTGATGTTGATGTTGATGTTAATGTTGATTGTTGATTGTTGATGTTGATGTTGAGGGTTGAAAAATAGCGTGTGTACAGAGGATAGTTAAAAAGAGTCAGGTGAGGATCTGCACGCGCGTATGCTGCTGTACTGTAAACTTATCAAGTACATGTGTACAATCGTTACAAAACCAATGAAATAGGTCATATCTCTAAAAGTAAAGGTCGCACACTATTGGCGCAATACAAAATATTGCTCGCCATACCCTCTTTACCCCAATGCACATGTTTTTAGAAAAAAGCGCCCAATTTAAAAAAAAGTGCCCAATTGGGCGCTTTTGCCAGCCCAATTTTTGAGTATCATATGACGTCATCAGAAGTCAAAAATGTGCTTGCGTTTGAGAAGTTGTCATATAAACGTGTACAAAACACTGGTAAACAGTTAAAATACATGTACATTGGTCCATCAAACAGCCGTTACATGTAGCTCAATAGTTAACATACAATTTCAAGGGGGCTGCAGGGCATCTTCTAGTTAACGTATTGTAACAAAACGTTGGGAAGTTTTAGACCTACATGTATTATTAAAGTGCCATTTAAAGCACACATCTTGATTATATCTCTGACGGTTGACTTTTTAGCAATTTTCAAAGGAAAAGAGGTCTTTTCATTGTAACTTCCGGTCTGATGACGTAATCAATTTTTATTTGCGCACAGGTCTTGTCTGCATTAAGGTCATCATGTATATTAAATTTGAAGCGATTACCACAAGTTTCACCACAGACATCAACTGATAATGCGTTTTGGACATTTTTTAACCTGCTGCTAGAGGGTGCTCCAACACTTCATGGCGTCAACCATCATTTTTTTTTGAAAGGTCAATCCAGGCAGACACTAACATCATTGAAAGCAAGTTCATATCTTTTTCCACTTTCAAATTATTAGGCACTCCCGGTTTCGACCGGAAGGAAGGGTCACATGATTTGACACGCACAAGATAAATTGAAGGTCATGTCTAATCATGTCGATTCCCGCAAAATTCAAGTTGCGGTCTCTGACGGTTGATTTTATATTGAATTTCAAAGATTAAATTTAGTATTTTTTGAAGTGACGTCACATGACCCATGATGACGTCATGATGACATATTTACAAAAAAAAATCATGTTCAGTGGGTTGTGCATTCATGTATTGACAACTGAAGTTTATGTCACTTTCCATGTTGACAAACAGTTCTGGAGAAGAATGTGCTGAGGAGAATAATAACAACAATAATAATAGTAAATTCATAGAATAACAATAGGTGTTGGGCTCAGGCCCAACACCTAAATATGTTTTACTCACTAAATTTGTTGTTGTTGCTCTCGGGTATATCCTTGGTACATTGGAAAGTCAATAGTAGTGATACACCCTGAAACACTGTCCTGCACACAGGGGAATTCTGCACTTTTTGCAGAAAATACGAGTGTCAGTGCTGCACCCTATCGCAAGAACTGGAATGAATCAAATAAATACAGGTCGTACCTGAATGAAAATGATATTATTAGAAATAGCGAGAGCGCCCCTTTGTGATAACATGCTTACTCTACCTCGTACATGTTCGAGGTTTCGCGATTTTAAGTAGGAACATTCCCTCGTACATGTACGAGGTTGGCAATTTCTAACTAACAAATATACCTCGTACATGTACGACTTTGGCACTGAAAGAGTTAAATTGTCAATACCACATCAAATATTAAGTAGGGAAAATTGAATAATTATTAATCTTTCTTTCAATCTTGTTGATTTAAAAATTATTCACAATCTCACATTCAAAATCGAAATAAGCCAGTTTATTTAATACAATTCTAAATATATTAGACTGCCGCAAGTCCTTGTTTGCCTGCTAATTGACTATGCAGCATCACTCAGGTTCCAAGGGGTCCGGTAGAGGTAGGGGTCCTCAACAAGAGCTTCAGTTCTTCAGGGGAGTGCAAGGCTCACTCTGCTCAGTAGAAATATCTCCCAATTATTTGTGCCATAGTTAGCATCTTCAGTACTCTCTTGGAGTCAGCTTTTTGCAGATCACAGACTTTCAGTATTAAAACTGTGGTTGTTGGCTGTTCAGGCTAAATTCTGTATCAAGACAAAATAGGTCCTCTCTCTCGTGTGTCTGGCGAGCAAGTGCCTGCAGCACACGTATGTTCATAGCCTACTGCCTGTGTAGTCACTTAATTCACGTTGGCATAAAATGTCCAAAATTTCTATTATTTGAGTTTTCCCAGAGTTATTTCAGGAAGTATATACTCAAAATAAGTTACCAATAAAACTCACAATATAATCAACCGGGCTCTATTTTTTTAAAGGAATGTTTGTTACTTTTTTTTGCCATGAAAACTGACTGTGAATCATATTGCATAAGGAGCAAATCAATAATTGTGAATAAAAAAATATGGCTCCCTATTTATCAACTGGAAGAGAACATTGACATTGCTGGCTTCACTTCCATTGGTCTCACTTATTCCTAAAAACTCAGATTTTAAAGAAAAACAAAATAAATATCGTTATCAAGAAAAATCACTGCTTGCAAAAAGACTACTACATCATTTTAATACGGAGCATCAATAGACCTATTGAAACAAAAATTGGAGTAAGAAAAGACTGATTATATCATGCCGCGTTTAAGCCTTATTAAGGGACAAAGGCTGATGGCATGCAGAGGGAAACCTGGGCACAATAGACAAACTAAGTGGCAGGCACAAACATACGTGAGCAGCTAAGCATAGGCGAAAACCCAAGCCACTCCCATGCAAGGAATTTTGGAAGGCATTTGGTAAATGTCCATACTCTACCGATCACTCATACTGCTAACTATGGCACACACGGGTAACAAAGCACTTTCCTTGGCACACCAACATAACGTGAATGGCTTACTCAACAATACTGAATATTCATCACTGGAACTTTCAACCTATCACTGAATCCACACACACACACGCACGCACACATACTGAAATTTGTATCACTGTGGAGACATTTCTTTGTTCTCGTGTAGTAAAGTTTTCAAGTTTGAAAGTGAAGTTTCAAATGCTCTTATTTTAACCAGAATTAATTTCCTTGGCTGAAATTCGGACTTAATATCCCTTTTCTAAAACTCTTCCATTTGTGACAGATAAACCCCCCTTGGAAATTCCTAGTTTTTGAGTAAAATCCATATATCTATTTCGTGAAAATCTTGTGGAGACGTATTCATCTATAGAATTTGCCCTGTGGAGACGTATACAATCTTTTGTTCCCTATTGTGTGCATGTCTCCAGAGGGCACAGTGTATCAGATCACTCAAAACCACTCAACCGAATAAGGCCAAAAAAAAATAATAGTTCTGCTTCCAGTTTCCCTACCTACCCTATTCTGACAGCCCCTACCCTAATTTTTTTTAAGGTAAAAATGAGAAAAAAACACCCAAAACCATCAATATCTACCTTTTACCCTTGACCACGCGCAGACGCCTCCATATGATCGTACACAAAAAAAATTGGCCCAAAAAAATAATTTCCCTACCTACCTACCCTATTTTCCAATGCCATGTAATCGGAAGCAGAACTATTTTTTTTGTGGCCTAAACCAGGTCAATGAATAAATGAAAACTAAGGAAAATATATACAGTCACTTGTGACAAGTGTACACATTGACGGGGAATTTCAATTTGTTATCTTTTGACTTGACAGAAGTCCAGCTGCACCGTCCCGCTCCAGACGCCGCACCAAGTCGCTATCAAGATCACGTTCTAAGTCCGTATCTAAGTCAAGGTCAAGGTCAAGGTCAGGTTCCCCAAGAAGAAGCAAGTGAGTACTCGCTGATCACTGTCATTAAAATCCTATAATATGAGCACCTATTTGATATCTAGATAGTGCAGGCTTTGATGACGCACCCTTGAATACGGGAAAATTCCTCAGTGTTAATTAGTACTGTGCATATTAAAATGTTCTAGTGTTCGATTATTCGAGCATGGCTTTAATCTCATATTCAAATGTTTTAAATGTGCCAATCAAATTTGACATGTGCTGACTGAAATTACTTGTGCCTTGATATACGTGCACCAGTGTGCAAACATGACAGTGAGCTTAACCATAACTCTCAATTTTGCTAAAATGCAACCTGAATCCTCCAACTACCTCCATGTAAAAATGGCGGCCTCAATCCTTCAAAATCATCCGTAATTTCTTAAATCTGGTCCTCGGAGGGGTGACCATTGCCTCGATTCCGTACAATCCTCCAGCAAACACTGTCAATATGTTGAGGCAGAGCCAGTGACATCCTGGAGCAGTGCGGAGGATTTCAAGTATAATCTACCGGTAGGCCTAAATTTATGCATGGTCGAGCATAAACAATACATGGTCTGGCCTAAGACCTTGACACAGTGCATCCTCCAAAACCAGCCACACATTTTTTTGCCATATTATAGCCTCATTCCTGCAAAATCCTCCAAATGTTTCTCAGTCCAAGATTCATTCCTTTTCAACATTTTTACAATGACTGGCATTCATTGAGAAATTATATGACGAAAAATGGTGTTGGGATGCGACTTCTTTCCCTCAAATCCCGCATGTAAAGTGACTGTCAACATAATGTGGTTTGACGAACAAAAATCCATGCAACTGATATTTTATTCAATTAGAGCTTTTTATTCATCTTCTCGAGACCACTTACATGAATGAGTCAGTTGGCTTATGCAGGCACGGATCGAGAGGGAGGGGGGGGGGGGGCAATTCCACGGTTACTCACGTTACATTTTTGATGTACTTTTGAGATTCCTTGGGCTGTAATTACCTTACTGAAAAGGTTTAATAACTGTTATCCCCATGGTAGATAGAGTAGCCCTAGACCTACCTAAGCACCAAAGATGACATCCAGGAAAATGTGTTATGTATGATAACGAGATGCACAAAATCGGTTACTCACGTTACGAAAATGTAACGTGAGTAACCGATATTGTGCATCTTGTTTATCATACATAACACATTTTTCTGAATGTCATCTTTGGTGCTTAGGTACATGTAGGTCTAGGGCTACTCTATCTACCATGGGGATAACGGTTATTAAACCTTTTCAGTAAGGTAATTACAGCCCAAGGAAACTCAGAAGTACATCAAAAATGTAACGTGAGTAACTGTGGAAGTGCCGGGGGGGGGGGGGGGACCAGCGCAGACTCAACAATTTGTTTTTTATAGAAATACATAAAAAAAAATAATGTGGAACGAACCCCCCCCCCCCCCTCCGATCCTGAAAGTTTCAAAGAAATTACCCCAAAATGCATATGGGCCACTGACTAAACGCTATTTGGATATTAATGTCTTTCAAAGTTTCTAAGTCAAGTGAGATGTTAGGGGTTGTTTTTCATCATTTGATGTTTACTGAGTTGCTTTTCAGTATAATTGCAAACATTTACATGCTGTACATTATACATTTATATTGATGAATATGGTTATAATTTGTGACTTCAAGAAACACAGTGGGTGTGAACGAGGATGCACTGTTTGTAAAAATGGACCAGATAGCTTTTGATTTGGAGATACTGTTTTAATATTGATGCCTGTTGATTATTTTCAATTATTACATACTCCGTACGTGTTTCATTGCAACTTTTAAAATCTTGTCTAGTTCGCTCAACTTATCTGTAGAGCAATCTACTTATGCATATTTCCCAGTGCCCCAGGCGTCATCGGAAATATCATCGGCTGTACCCCGGGGCCGCTCTTCGAGGAAGAAGAGTAAGAAGAATAAGGCGAGTTATCGATCACGCCATTCTTCTTCAGACTCGGACGACTCCTTAGACCGATTCCACCGTGAAAACACTGCAGGGGTGAGGACTCGATCTCTAGAGCTGATTTTGTACAAGCCTTTCAATTGTTTTCAGCTTCATTATGGGTGCTATTGGCCACCCGTCAGACCGGCACCATTGGTGGCCCCTCTGAGGTTGCGAGCCACACTCTGCAACCCTCAGATGTTGGTCACAGTTGGGTGGCTCGAGGACAAAGGGACATACCCCAAACAGTTAGTTGTGCTCCGGTGTCCCCACCTGCAGTGAGCGCTCCGCAGCCGTCAGTCATTGGTCAAGGCTGGGTGGCCCAAGGACAAAGGGACATACCACACACGGTTAGCCGTGCTCCGGTGTACCTGCCGGGCCTGAGCTTGCACCCGTCTATGTCTATTGTTTCCGAGAGAGTTGCTCACCACCGTCCTGTGGCTCTGTGCAGCTTGCCCATCCAGATGGCTCTCGTTCGGGTGGTTCATTCAATGACGACGAGGGGGCGGACCCGTTGCAGCGGCTGTCCATTGCAGAAACAGAACTCCGTTTGGGTCAAAGGGACATGATTCTGATACTACAACTACCCTCCACTGATGAACCCCTACGCCTGAGCATAAATCTTTTAAGCTTAGGACGGGTTCCAACAACCAACAACAAGGTGTTCCTGATGCTCCCTTTAGATCAGGTGTGTGTGGATCGCATTCGCAAGATGGTGTCTACTGACAAAATGGCAACCATTCTCCAAGCAAGAAAGTAATTATTATCGTTTCCCCTCGGCGGATTTTGATAATTTTTTTGGTCACACCTTCCCTCTCCCAAGCAGCCAAAGACAAGCTGACGGCGGATGAAGGAACCACAGAATCCAAGCGGCCCTTCGCAGATAAGACTCGCGGCAAGCTTGAGGACACTAAAAAGAAAAAAAAAAAGTGGACTTTGCCTCCCGCCACGGTATGCATTCGGCCTCCTTCTTATTCCTCCTCATGGCGTATTTAGTCTTGGATTGTGAGGATGTCTCAGCAGTTCCGGCGGACATGTTGACCACTGCTTTTCAATGCCTAGATCACAGTCTTTGCTCGGTGCTTGATCAGTTTGCTAGAGTGTCGAATGTCACAGGGCGCCTCCCTCTAACGGGAAGGGATCTTTTTGCAAGGAAATTTGAGGATTGCATGCGGTTGAAGGCTACTGAGAAGATAAATTTTCAGCCGCCAACCCCACGGCCAAGACAGCACAGGTCAAGAACAAACCGGAAATGGAAAAGCTCCCATTCAGCTTTTCCATCTCACCTTGGCTCTGCACCCGGATAGTGAAGACTGGATCGTCAATCTCAGGAGACCACGGCTGCAGTGCTCACATCAGGTGCCGACCAAGCCCTGGCTGATACCGCACCTCTGGTGGTGGCTCGACATTGCCAACCTGGGGGGAGGGGGGCGTGCCTTTTGTAGACCCCAGCCATCGCTGACCGTAACGATAAACACACATCGCTTTCTGGCTGGGGGGCCACCCTCCACCTACACCAAGTGGCGGGTCGGTGGGGCCCCGAACACCACTCAAGTCACATAAACGTACTTGAGATGTTGGCAGTCTCCAATGCTCTCCAACGTTTTTTGGGTATCAGTGATGGGCCGGGCGGTCCTGGTTCGATGCGACAATGCCATGGTAGTGGTTTACGTCAACCACCAAGGGGGCACGCAGTCTGCCCAACAGTGTGCACTCACATGGGAACTCATCCATACCGGTAGGTGTATGCACCACAATGTAACGCTTTCAACAGTCCACCTTTTGGGCGAAGAGAACGTTGCTGCTGTTGCCCTCTCTAGGTGGATTCTCCGCACAGAGTGGAGTTATCCACGTTATCGAGATCTACATTTGAACCAATGGACAGGATTGGTTCAAACCGCATGGCAGGATTTTCTCAACGAGCTGCGGCTAATGCAGCCTGCAGTCAAAGAGCATCAGCCAGAAAAATTTACGACAGTTGACCGCCATTTTTATCTACCTGGCTGTAGCCAGGGGGATATTGCTATAGCTTATTCCTTCTGTGTGTATGTATGTGTGTGCGTGCGTATGTCTGTGTGTTATGTTTTGGTTAGGTTGACTTTTGTCAGCACGATAACTTGAGAAATGCGTTACTAAGGAACTTGAAATTTGGTTTGTGGATATTTCTTGATAGTCTTAAGAAGCCTATTGATTTTGGGGCCGACAAGTCAAAGGTGAAGGTCACTTGCTAAATCAAAAGAAATCTTGTCAACGCGATAACTTAAGAAATACTTTACTTAGGAACTTGAAATTTGGTTTGTGGGCAGGCTTCTAGCCAGGCATACAATAGGATATCGGGCCGATATCCTATTTTGCTTTTGTGGACGAAAGGTCAAGGTCACAATATTGCTAAAACAATAGAAATGTTGTCAACGTGGTAACTTCAGAAATACTTTACTTAGGAAGTTGCAATTTGTTCGTGGGTTTTTCTTGGTAGTCTTAAGAAGCCTGTTGATTTTGGGGCCGACAGGTCAAAGGTCAAGGTCATGGTTGATAAAACCATAGAAATCTTGTCAATGTGAAACATGAGAAATACTGTACTTAGGAACTTGAAATTTGTTTTGTGGGTTGCAATACAAGAAACTGTTGCTTTTGGGGCGAGAGGTCTTCCCAGATGGAAACTCGGTGTCAGAGAGTCGAGCTCTCAGCTAGCTAGTCAGGGGTGCCTACATGAGACCTCTTCAATGTGTTATCCACGTTATTGAAATCTACATTTGAACCAATGCTGACAGTTCAACTTTGTTACAATTGTCCATTAACGTTGCCTTCTTGTAAGCAGTGGCCAAGTCGAGACAATGAAGGGAACTACATTCCCTAACAATAGAGACGGGCCACATCCTGCGAGAACCAGGGGTGGCCTTCTGATCCCTAATAGCGGGGCTTTTAATTGAGAATCTGTGGGACTCACAGTGGGAGTCCTTTTCGCCTCCGTTTTAGACGACGAATTTTGGCTTTGAAGTGGTACATAAACCACACAAAGTCGCTTCGAATCTGTCATTTGAAACTATTTGTCACGACAACCCTGCCATTTCAGCCGGCTTCTCGCGACACGATTGCCCGATGGCTAGTTATGGCCATCCATTGGACTGCGGACATATCAATGGCAGAGTCCGTTGGATTGGTCCGCACGCACATTATCAGACAGAGCAGGGAGAACAGTGCTGAGGGCGGCTAGCTGAGCCTCATCATGTTCACAAGACCCTCTCCAACTGGAGACTCCCCTAGAATAGGTGAGTCTCCTTATTCTGCTTCCTTTATTAATAAACCTTTCCCCCATCGCACACATATGTATGACGTAGATACGGCGCAAACTCCCGTGGTGGGGTCCGCAACCTGTTTAGTATGTTGAGGCTCCTGTACTGTTATCAGCATTGCCCCTACCACGTGGAGCAGCAGGGCACACGAGGGGTTGCGCCTTGTGTCCAGTGCCCCTGTAATTGTACAAGAGCATCTCGCATAACCCACCGCCTAATACCCAGTGCCAGTCTATGCATAAGTAGATTGCTCTGCAGGAAAGTTGAGTGAAGTAGACTCCCCCCTCATGGAAGTGTGGATGGGGTCTATGAACAAATACTTACCAGTAGAGCATCCCTCCCTCCTACCCCACTATTCTCGATGTAGAACATGGGTGTTCCGACTTAGCGCTCAAGAAAAGAGGAAGAGCCTGGGGCATTATGGGTAGGACACCAGAGGGAGCTATTGTGTAAACTCTTCGCAGAAATACCTGCCGGTCTAGGGAAATACCGGTATGCATAAGTAGATTGCTCTACAGGTAAGTAGTCGTTCGTAGACCCAATCCACACATCTGGCAGTAGACTTACCCAGATGACTTTGGCTAAACCATCAGGACTTTAAAAAACATTTTCTGTAGCAGATGGAAGGCACTTGTGAGTTATGACACACATAAGGAGGAGTCAGGTTGGCGTAGCGGTACTTTCCTCGCCTTCCACCGCTGTGACCCAGGTTCGAATCCCGCCTGGGCCAATATGTGGATTGGGTTTTCAGTCCCTGCCTGATTCCGTGGGTTTTCCCTAGAATATTCTTCTGGGCTTTTCCTCCCACCTCTAAAACTGTAATTTCTTCTCATTGTCTTCTCATTGTCTTCTCTCCACAGGTTTCTTCAGGCTTGCGAGCTACAGTGCCTAGGGCACTTTTGAGGAATCCTTGGTTTCATTACCAGAATGATTAATAATAATAATAATAAATTCCTGCCTCTTTATCTTTTATTCTCCGTTGTATTAGTGCCGTATTTTTTATTTTAAAAAATTGTTTGTATACCCTCAACACAAACATCAGTGTTGGCTTCTTTAGGGTTATCAAAGAACACTCAGTGTAAGTGTTTTGCTTTATCCATCAGGCACAAGAAAGACAAGAAGAGTAGAGAGCGTGAAAGAAGTAGAGACCGTGACAGTCGCAGCAGTAGGAAACACAAGAAAGATAAAGATCGGGATCGAGAAAGAGAACGTAAAAGGGAGAGAAGCCGTGACAGAGGCCATGATCGTAGTCGAGACAAAGACCGTGGTGGGGAACATAAAGACCGAGACAAAAAAGATACCAAAATTAAACGAGATTACGATGAAGAAGAAAAAGGATATGATAGTGACAAGGGAAAGGCCACACCATCATCAAGTGGCGGTGAAGAGGATTCAACAGGCATGAAGATTCAAGTAGTGATGGGTGAGGGTAGTCGTACTGGAGCTACATTGGATGATGATACCAATGTCCAGGATATGGACATGGATATGGAATCTGACTAAGCAACCATGCATTATTGGTCGTTTTTCATTTTAACATGTTTAAAAAGTGTTTGTTCTGCATTCTAAGCATTTAGATGTTAGTTGTTACACAAACAGCTCACAAATCTTAGCAATTTATTTGCATTCATTAACTGTTAACTGTTAACCTCTCAATTTTCAGGGCTGATCAAGTTTAGCCCACATTGCCCCCAAAGATTTGGGTTTTATAAAATTTAATTCATGTTGGTAATGAAAAGGAATTTTCACCAAAACTTTGTTACTTTTGATATTGGTTACAAGGGCTATACAATTCTTATACTTTGCACTACATGTGCAATGATGTTGTGCATCGGGTCAGGTTGACAAGGCCAAACCGACCCGAAACATTATAGATGTAAACCGAATCTGAATCGAAACCAATCTGAACTACCCAAACCGACCTGACAAAAGTTGAGCAAAACCGACCCAAATCGACCCGACTGGAAACCACCCAAATAGCCGTCTGTCCGTCCGGGCAGCTTAGTTTTCGGATGATATGGGATTGTAACTTGGGTAGGGGGTTGCCCTTGGGAGTAGGCAAGTTGGGATCGGTTTGGGAGTCAGGGTCACCATGGTGAGTTAAAGGTACATGTACATATAAAATCGTAGTGTCTCAGTAAAGTATCATTGTACGGTACGGTGAAGACTCATGTTATCTACAGGTGGGCATTCACATTAAAGACTGTGTGTGATAGACCGCAAACCACATGCACATTTGCGCTGTAGATTGACATTGGTTGTACTGGGCATAGTAACTCTTCAATAATATTGCATCGCATGAATTTCCGAACTGTTTCGTTTTACTGAAACTGTTTAGTTTTTTTGAACGGTTTTCAGATTTATTTCAGGTTTTTTACAAGATGGCTAAACCGACCCGACCTGACCCGAAAAATTGAAAAACCGATCCAACCTGGCCTGAAGTCGGTTTCGGTTTTGAGTTGGGTTTGCACAACATTAATGTCCAAGCAGAAATGAAAAAAAAAAGGTGTCAGGAACAAAGATGCTGCTCCTTTATGGTGAAGACTAACTGAAGTTAAACATAAAAATACTTAAAGCTTTTACAACACAAAAGTAAATCTTTAATGTGCAGAATACACAATGAACTGAAAACTGTAAAGGTTGTTAATGTTGACAGTGATGTACCAACTACACATGGGTACATGGAATTTGAAATGAGGAAAGGGACATGCCAAACCGCCAAGTTTTCTTTGTGACACTCATTTTACGCAACCATGGAAATGACATCATCAGGAGTTTGTACAATTATACATTATAGATGGTAGAAGTAATTTCTTTTTGTGTTTTTTTTAGACATTGCTTGCTCTTTATTGTGATTTTGTTTGTTGTTATGGATGCTTGTTTAATTTTTAATACGTGTAGTGTACTTAGAAACAGAATAAAATGTTATTTCAAGTGGTCTTGCTGGCTAAAATTGCATTAAACACTGTACAATTCATTTTCAGATACAAGTAAAGTTTATCCAAAATAAAACCACCACTTTCTCAGCAGGTTTAAGTGACATGAGTTACTTGAGGTAAAAATTGGAAGGTTATTTAGGAGGAATATTTCTGCAAATGCCTACTGATTTTCTTTAGAATAATATAAATAGGTTTTGGACAAAGCCCAAAACATGTTTGACAGTGCCAGAAATATTTTTGAGGATAACCACAAACATGAATGAGCCTGAAAGCTGAGTTTTCCCAAGCTACAGTGTATATATGTATACCTGAATGCTCACTGGAAGAGACCTTGATACAGATACCCTCCATAGCCACTGATAGCGTTATGCTGGCTGATATTTTTGAATTTACTTTATGTATGTACAGCAAAAATCTTTTCATGGAGTGTGCTAGTACAGCCATGACCTCATGAGTGACTTTTGATCAGCATGCATAATGCATGAGACTTGGTGAAATCCGTCCAATCGCACACTTCACTATGTGCCTATAGTGTATTATGTGGTAAAGGAAAAAAAAATTACGGGCAGGCCATGGAAGCGCATCACATGACCTTTCACTTGCAGGCTTTATTAATGCTGATTCATACTCGGCACGAAAGTGAATGCAAATTTGTGACGTCGGGGCCAGTTTTCGCACTGCAAATTTGCATAAGTTTAACACATTTCAACTCAAGCGAATTTCAACAAATTATACTGGTTATAATGTCCGCATGTGCTCAAAACACGGACAGAGCCAGCTTGGTTGGGGGTATTTGTACACTATTCTTATGGGGTTTTTTTTGGGGGGGGGCAAAAAAACAAAAATGTCAACCGATTCATCATAATATCAAATACTTGCAAGTTGGAACTTCTAATTGTAGACTCTATTGGTCACTTCTCACATCATGCAGTCTACCCTGCGATCTCCAAACCAGCCTCGACGTGGACAAGAATGCCCACATGGCAGCGTTTTTTACATTTTAGTAACACCGTGCTAGAAAGCTATGGAAAACACTGTACATGTAAATATGATTAATTCTCTTGTCCAGCATGTCTGTTTCATTTTTTGTTTCTTTGTACAGTGTAAAAACCAACGGTTGTCGGCTGTCTTGAAAATTAAAAAAATAAACAAATACAAAAAAAAAACTGCCTTCTTTTTTTTCCTTTAAAAACCCAGACGCTATACACTTGGCCTAATGTTTTGAACCAAACTCGCTTGTAATTTGATACCTGATGATGTCATAATGACATCATAGTTATATGACACACCTGAACCATTTAGAAATGGGATCAGCTTGATATCCCCAAAGTCCTATTAGTGGGCTTGAACCGTTATGTTTCAAAAACCAGCAAGATTAAAGCAAGCTATCTCAATATGGAGTTGGTGTTAGACTGGCATCTTGCACTGTCTGGGTGACCTTTGGATTATATCTGCCAGAATTGTTACAATCAAGCGCATAACATAAACACAATAACAGGAAAGAAAACATATGTGGCTGTGGTTCTCTGCACAGATAACATCAGAAAAATTTCAGTTTTAATCAGTCATAAAATGTCTTCCATTTAGCAGCTGGAAGTATCTTGTGAAAATTAACCAAGAGAACAACTAGCTCAGGATGTCTGCACTAGATTTCATAATCCATAAACTGATAATATGAATGTCTAAAATGACATCACAGCAACAGTGCTGGTTGACAGCAAGTGGTATGGATATCATGAGAAGAAAGTAAACAAAGAACACTTTCATAATTATTTAAACAACTAACCCACCCCAGAAAGTGCCCTACTATTAATCATATCATATTATGATTTACTGTGAAGTTACCTGTAGGCATTTCTTGTAGGAAACAATTATCTTAGTCAAAGTCTATTGAATTGTTGTAAGTCGCACATCTCTGAGCTGCAACATTGTGTTTTAGGTGCCAGGTGTTGAATGTTTCCAAAATGTTGCTTACCACATCCCCTTGAAAAATAATTGTCTGCAAAAACTATTACCTGTAATAATTCTGACACGGAGCAATGAACACCGAATTCACATCGCTATTTCCATTATTAAAATTGTTAAAAAGCTAATGAACTATACTCTCCAGACATGTATCGATATGCACTGTATGTTTTAAAAAGCTGTGAAAAAGAGGGAGCGCTTTACAATTAAATGTAACTCTTCAACTTTAACAGAACACACAATGATCATATTAATCTTCCAATGTTCTCTGGTTTTAAACTTTTAGTACCACATTTTAAGATTTACCAATTCACTGCAGCAGTACATGTACCAGTAGGTGGATAAATACTTTTCCAGCAAATGTCAATGAATACAGAAGAGAATTTAGAAAATGTCTAAATTCTCAAGAATTGTTTATCAAAATAATAATAACAATAAAAACAAGTATTATGTTATCAGTAAAATCACCTTACAAAAATCCAAATATTCGAAGGCATCTTCTCTTTAGCAAATTGTTTTCATCAATTGTTTGGTAAATTGTTCTGTTTGTGTTTTAAGGGTTGTAATTTCCAACATTGAAACATTGCAAAACACAAGTATTACTCTCAACATGCGTGATGTGGTGACGATGTCACATGGACCTTGCTTATCAAACTGTTCTTGTGCTAGTATTTCGTAAGAACTTGTATTTGAACTCATCTCTTTTCAAAATAGTTCACAAATATTATTCTAAAAATACAAAACAATTCAACAATTTGCCCAAAATAGGATTTATTTCTGAAACTGAAATACATTTCAAAAGGCCATTTTCTACCAAAAGTGGAGAAATCGCTTCACCTGTGTGTAGAAGTCGTGTGTGATTCTTGCAAGTACGAAAGGTTTTCCAGGCACGAATCCTGGGTGGGGGGGGGGGGGGGGGGGTTGAAACACCCGGTCATAATGTCTGCCTGTGCACAGCATTCGGACTGAGCCAGCTGGGGTACGGGGGTATTTGCACACTGTTCTGTAAGATTTTACAGAGGCCAAGTGTCCGGATAAAAAAACACCTGTCTACATTTCAGCATTGATTTGCTGATGACATGACCCCCCCCCCCCCCCCCCCCCCGAACCACCCTGTTTATTTCTACCCTGCAGGTTTGCTACATACCAAAATTGCATAAAAAAATTCACTGCCAAAAATAAATAAATAAATAAAAATGCACATTTAATATACAACTTTTGCACTTGACCAGTTCTCTTTTATATTTCCTGCAATATCAATGCTGCTGTACTGGGTCAGTAAAAAAAGGAAAACCAAATGGAAACCCCTTTTTTTCCTGAAGAAGTTCTGCATGTAGCGTGTTCCAGATCTAGGATGTGAAAGCACAATTCATAAGCTTTATTTTAGTAAAAGAATTATTCATATCGCTCATGTACTTTGCCAGTTATGGACTGTTAAACACAAACACAGTTTTATAATTTTGTCCACGGATCACATTAAAGGTAAGTGATATTCAGCAAAACGAAGGCAATTCACATATCAAAAAAATACCTCAGAACTCTCTCACAGCCATGATAACTGGCACTTATCATAACATTTCTGTAAAAACCTTTTTCTCCCAATGCCAAAACAGCATGCTCTATAATGTCAAGAGTTCATAGTCTTGCCCTGCCTTCTACTTGGCTACCTGGAGATTTTTACTCAAACATCACGTACCTTATATATGATCCGTGTTTGTGTTCAAAATAATTCCATAACTGGAAAAGTACATGAGTAAACTTATTAGATGGGCTTTCAAATCCTGGATCTGGAAACCACTATATGCAGAAATTCCTTTAAAAAAAATAGGGGGTGCTATTTGGGTTTCCTTTATTTGGACTCGCCCTGTAGTTTTGTTTAATTTAATTTAAAGGTTTTTTTTATCCAATGTAACACATCAGAGCATGTTCACTTTTGGGTGAGGAAGGCAAGTCTTGTTTGTCCACTTGTTTCTCCTGGAACCTTCTGACATGTCAGATAGCACCTATTGTGTGTAGTAGGAGTAGATGTAAGCTGTTCACCACCTATTTGGTTACACTCCAGCAGATCTGAGAATACAATCAAGACATGTAAATGTTCACACAATATTCCATGCAAGCTAACTGATATACTGAGATAATCAACTGCAATCATATGTTCCATACATTGTTTCTATAACAATGAATTTCTAAATATGTCCAATTTTCAGTAGACATTTTCTTTTTGTCTGACCAGTATCATTGTAGATATGCTAAGACAAAAAAAAAAAAGTTCTGCTTCCGGTTACATGGCATTCGAAAATATGGTACATGTAGGTAGGTAGGGAATTTTGTTTTTTGCCAATTTTTGTGTGTGTACGATCATATGGAGGCGTCTGCATGTAGTCAAGGGTAAAAGGTATAAAGTGATGGTTTTGGGTGTTTTTTCCTCATTTTTCCAATAAAAAAAATTAGGGTAGGGGCTGTCAGAGAAGGGTGGATAGGGAAACCGGAAAAGCTTTAACACGAATGCATATGGGTGATTCCATGGTAACTCAGGCTACACTTCTGCTCATCCTTTGACATTCTCCATGCTCAAGCTCTTGAACCCATTTGACTGCAATCCCAATTTTTGGTCTTTTATACTCAACATTCAATTCTAGATCTCCATGGTATTACAGAAATATAATGTCAACTTATCTATGCATGGGACAGCTGTGAAAAATGGAGTTATTCTACGCTGAAAGGACATACCCCAAAAATGACTCATTTTTACTTTGATTGGGTTCTAAAACAAACAATGCTACAGCTTCATTCATCACATAATCAGAGTTGTAATGACTCGAGTCAATGACTCGACTCAAGTCCGACTCGAGTCAAAATTTTGGTGACTCGACTTGACTCGAGTCCCTATGGGTACATGACTCGACTCGACTTGAGTCACTGCAAGCAAATGACTCGACTCAACTTACGGTGCCAATTTTATGTTCATTTACAAACATACAACGTGTCACAGACTCCCACCTTATGGTTCTGGAACGCACAAAATACTATTCAGGAACCGGATTTATTTTCCAATTTGTTGTTTCATCATTGGCTTTGGGCGATTTCTTATAAAGCCTCTTGGATTCGAACGCCGGCTAAATTTATGCCCTCCTTTTATACATTTTGGTAAATAGTGTTAAAATATTCGTGACTCGAATTGACTCTAGCTAAATATTTGACTCAACTCGACTTGACCTTCTTGACCTAATGACTCGACTCGACTCGAGTCACTTCTTTAAAATGACTCGACTCGACTCGAGTCACTTCTTTAAAATGACTCGACTGGACTCGAGTCACAAAAATCAGTGACTCATTACAACTCTGCACATAATAAGTATAGCTACTGTGCTAAGGTTTAGCTTGGTGTAACAAAAAAGTAATACCCCTCATAAGTGTACAATGACTTGCAAAATATGGCAACTCATGCTACAGTAAACTCGTGCTACAGTAACTCATGCTACAGTTTGTCCAGTCATATGCATGATGGCATTATTCCACTTACTTCCATTTGCTTTGTTCACAACTCAACAACTGGTAAAATGATCAATTAAACCAATCTATTTACACAGAACCGTAGTATGAGTTACCGTAGCATGAGTTACCATAGCATAAGTTGACGTGGTTTTGCATTTCATGGTAAAAGTATGAGGGGTATTACTTTTTCATTAAACAAAGATAAATCTTAGCATAGTAAGGGGCCATTCAAAATTTTCGATGTTTTATAAATTTCGATTTTTGTTCGATATTGTTTTGACCCAACCACCTACCCCAATTTTCGATCTTAAAATATTGATTTTCCATTCAATAAAAAACATAATGAATATCCAGTTCATTGATGGCGGAATGCAGCTGCAGTCCGTATACAGTACCTTACCAACAACATGGCCCACTAGCATTCCCGTACGTATAGGGAATCCACCTGGAAACACGTAAAACTAGTCCATTTTAAACGGTTATAATAAGTATAAGCTCGCTCTAACAAAAAAGTAACTTTTGTCTTTTCGTAGAGTTGTAGGCACAATAATGACTCTCATTATTCATGAAGTTTATTCAGAAATTGCAGTCGTTTTTGATAGAAAAAAATATTTGAACTCTCAACTTGCGTTTTCCAGACGTGTGCACACAGATGTACCCTGCGCATAGCGCATGCGGGTTGCCAAAGTAGTCTTGAACACAAGTAGGTTTATTTCGTTGTTGCGATTCGTAACCGACACTCGTGGCGTGTATTAAGACAAAATTAGCTGGGATCCCACTCCATCTGCACGGCGCACTGGTTTTACGCATGCTTTAAGTCTAACTTCAGTGGTCCACATGCATATGGTGCTCCAATGAACGTATACATAATGCATGGTACATTGTACATACTCTAACCGTTCGGTACGGTAAGGGCATAGGTTTACGAATCGGAACACAGAGAGTTGATACAAGTCCAAAGAGTCAATAAATTAATTTGACCTACCCACCCACATTTTCAACAAAAAAAAAAAAAAAATCGAAATTTAAAAACATCGAAAATTTTGAATGGCCCCTAACTACTTATAATTTGATCATCTAAGCTGCAGTGTTGTTTGTTTTACAACACAATAAAAATAAAACGAGTAGTTGTTTGGTACATGTATATCCTTCACCATAGCATATGAGTTACCATTTTTCACAGCTGTCCCATGCATACATAAGTTGACATTATATTTTTGTAATACCATGGAGATCTAGAATTGAATGTTGAGTATAAAAACAACCCAAATGGGAATTCCAATCAAATTGGTTTAAGAGCTTGAGCATGGAGAGTGTAAAAGGATGAGCAGAAGTGTAGCATGAGTTACCATGGAACCGCCCACATGTATGTCTTGTATTGTGCAACACTATTGAGCGAAACTTGTTGCAGTTCAGAACAGTCCACTGAAGACGCCTTCATGGGAACCTCAACATCGTCATTATCATCAGTGACTTGATTGACTCGCTTGCTCGACCCTCCACGTTGTTGCTGGCCTCCTTGCTGACTTGTAGTTGAGTGACAGACACCACTGAAATGCCCAATCTTTTGCACCGATTACAAGTTCGGGTGAAAAGTTGGCCAAATGTTGGATAGACCCAGCCACATCAGAAACAAGACCATTTGTTGCTGATGCGGGACAGTTTCACCTGTGGTGGCGGGTTGAGCTGCAGTGGTCGTGGCACCACGAGCGTCACCAGGATTTTTGGGGGGGGGGGGGGGCAAGCACATTTTCCCCCAGAATCCTTGTACTTTCTCTAGCACATTCTCAATTTATCATTTTTTTTGAGGGTGGGCGGGAGGACATTTGCCCACCCAACCCGGACTGATACCCCCTGCGGATGCCTTTTTTTGTTGATAGCAAATATGACTTCACACCTCTTTTTCTTTTTTTATCGCTTTTTGGTCTCCTTTTTGGGGGGTTGATTTTCCAGGGGCTTGCCCTCGCGACACCCATGCGTGGCACACGCTTTGCATTCTTGCCGACTTTGTTCACGGTAGACATAGTAGAGTTGTTCCATCTTTCTCCATAACTTCCATAAGTAGTCTTTCTCTTATTTCAGCACTGTTCGTCTTTTCTACCACCTGATCCCTGATCATCTGGTCAGTAAAACTTTCTAATTTGCAAGTCTTTGCAAGTTCTGGAAGGGAAGCAATGTAACTGTCAATAGTCTCACCGGGTTGTTGTGAATGCTGTCGGAATACCGTTCCGCAACTACATTTATTGCTGGCTGGAAATGCTTGTGTAGAATTTGTACGGTGAATTCACACAGATCATTTGCCTCTGGTGGAGTCAGGTAGTGTAATTCCTAAGCAGTGTAAAGGCCGGTTCACACTTAATGCGAATGCAATATGAATTCAACGTCATGGAAGCATTTGCTGCGAAATATGCCGGAGTTAAAATGTCTTCAACACAAAATGTGTGAATTCGCAGTACAAAAACTTGCCCTGACATCACAAATTCCCAAATTGCGTTCATGCCAAGTATGAACAGGCCTTAATAATAATATTCTCTTACGGGTTTGGCTGAATTCATCTTCACCTCCAGTTGCCATCAAGTAGGTTTTAAATATCAAAATCCATTGGGCCGAACAAAAAAAATGGTGTGTTTACGGTAACGGCCTGAAAAAAATCCAGGTAGGTAGGTAGGGAAATAATTTTATTTTGTAATTTTTTTTTTCATTTCAGTTCTGCATGCCCATGCGTGTTCTTTCGCAAAAAAATTGTATAAAACCACTATTCAAGCACTGAAGATATTCAATCGTTACATTTCAATCCAAATTAATGTGTATCGTCGGCCAGGGTTCTCCCCAGGATTTTTTCAAACATGTGGGGGAAGATTTGCTGTGATTCAACAACCCGAAAATGTTTAAACTTTAGAAGCTCTCTGGTGCATTTTAGAGCAAATGTGGGGGTCTTTATCTTAAGATTTGTCCTTGAAATTCAGAGGAGATCTTGTAGGTCACTAATATTTTTGTAATTAAAGAAAAAAATATCAAAATTGTTAACTTAACAAAAAATTAACATTTCACAACCTGTGTTTCACTGCTTCCTAACTAGAAAACGGTATGAATTACATTTACATGTAAGTTTCAAATTAAGAAATTAAGGTGGAGAAAAAAACAACTTTTGTTTTTTATTACATGCCTTTCAAAATAGCGACAGCTGGTCGGAAAATTATTTCCCCAATTTTTTTTGGGTACTGATTAACCCTTACCCTACTAGACCCTCCAACGCATGCCAATATGTGCCTCAAGAAAATCTCCTATGTTTTTTGCATGGCCCTCCAATATCTGCCATGTCATTTCAAGGGTAACTGGACAGGCACTCCAATACATGCCACAGAGAACAATGAGAGTCCTCTGATAACAAAGTGAGTGCCCCCAGCTGGTCAGTATCAGGCACCCTCCAGGGCCTCCAACTCCTGCCAATTGGAGCCTTCACTGTTAAGACTTGTTATCTGCCAATAAACTACAGCTGGAGGGCATTGGCATAACCAACTGACATGCAGTAAACTACCCTCAGAGAGTAAGGGTTAATGGAGTATCATTCGTACTAATCATAGAGCAAGGAATCATGTTTATTTTGTGCCTGGATTATTTCCATTTGCGCCACGAAAATTATCAAGACTGGCTATCAAAAGTGATTAAAACTTGCCTCACCTAATTAAAAATATATTTGAGGTCGGTGATTCCACTTTATAACACACATCACGGCCGCCAACATTCCGCCTGGCTGGCCGAACATCGCGCCGTGCTCACGGCCCACGTGGCCGAAAATCTTGCACTACTGCAGAAACACGCTACGATGTTTCGCCACAAGTTCGAGCTTTGCAATCTCGTCATTTTAATTCTGTGAAAACACATACACAGAATGTAAAGATCACGTTCTGTGAATTAATTCGCAGAAATTCTCTTTCTCCAGCGATGTTTGTTTAGTAATATTTTTACGATCCAACTTCGGCCCACTACATCATCATGCTGTATGATACGAAGTATGGACCGGAGAGAGGCAGTAGTCACTGGTTCCGGTCCTTCATCATAGCATTGATTCCGTTAGCTGGCGAAGGGAACCAGTGTACCATGCTGTATGTTAGCTGGGTGCTGCATGCAGTCGACAGAACACGTCATCGTGTGCATTTTGATCACACATGCATCGGAAAAACAGGATTTTGGTCAAGATTTTGCATGTCAAGATGAAATAATGGCGTATGTAACGATCAAATTGTGCATTTTAATGGCGTGTATGATAATTATATTGTGCGTATCAGGGGCTAAAAAATGTGATCGCCATTTTTTTGTCGGCGTATCGGGCTGGCCGCAATTCCAGCGTATCGGGCCGATACGCAGTACGCACGTTTGTACTTGTACGTGGGAAGAACCATTCCGTCCGTCGGCCAGCCAGGCGTACCGGTTCACCCCGGCCCGATGTGTTTGTGCAAAAATAATCGTACTTCGTAGTTTGAGAATTCAAATCATGGTCAGATTCAAGTGTGGAAAATGGTTTTTGTTCGTGGCAAATAATTAAAAGAACTTGAAATGTTTGAAATTTGTCAATTATCAACCTTCAAAATGGCAATAAAAAGTTTGAGGTCGGCAATTTGGCCGAAAAAATTCCAGGTCGGTCGGGTTACCGTAAACACACAATTTTTTTTGTTTGGCCTTGGGGGCAGCCTGGGCCCTGGGAAAATGTTTAAATCTACTGATTTCTCCCAAAGAAATGATGTCAACTTTTAAGGAACAACTTCCCACCCACCAATATTTAATTGAGGAAAACAAACACCTGTATAAATATCAGCCATGTAAGACAACTAAACAAGAAATAACCAAAACAAAATCCTACCAATATTAAATCGGAATCAGGGGGAAAACATTCTGATGGCAAAAAAAAAAAAGATCTGACTAAAATCGGAAGAATATCATGCCTGTCTTAACTTTCTCTAGATTACCTTATTTTTGATGATATAAGTAGTGCAGACAATAACTTACTTGGTTTGCTGATAAGCATTGCATCTTTGCTTGATCTGGCTGATGTCATGCAAGGACCCCTCGTTAGAAACAAGAAGTCTTCCAATGAGTTAGCGGGCATTTGTGTGCCATTGCTCAAGCTAGCCGACCCAGCTTCAGTATTCTGGATTCCTTGTTGAGACTTGGCAGTGTGAAGTTTGTAGCTACAGGTATGAGTAGACCTGATGCCTGCATCAGATGTCCCACTTGGGCTTTGTATGAGGCAGTTTTCCAACTCTACAGAATAAATATGTGTACATATTTATGTGCAAATCACAGATCACGTTTTTGATGTATGACTTATTTAGAAACTGCATGAATAGTAGATGATGTTTCTTCACTCATAAGAGCTCCATAGGAGGGACACATTGTGTGCACTTTAAAACTGGTTAGTGCAAGTATATGTGTACATGCAAACCAGTCCACATGATTAGTTTGATTTCAATGTGCAAAAAGACTGTATCATCTCCGCGTGAATGACAGGCATGTTTAGTCCCCCCTAACTCTCTCTTTGAAACCATTTGAGGGGGTATTTGTGCATCAAGTGTTAAAAGGGCATTATGGCCTGAAATTTCACATTTTAGATTGTTTACTTATATTTCAAAAGTCTGGTTGAAAGAATACAAAACTAATGTCTTACCATTCCTGAGAAAGATAAAAAAAAAACCTGGTTGTTTACATCGGAAGCGACGGACATTTTCTGGCATACCCATACATATTCAATTTGTGTCTATTCAATGCACATTGTGTGGTTGGTACATAATACACATATTACAAATACACAAAGTTGTTTTTTAGACGTCCGCAGAATGTGAGCCATATGTGCGTCTGGATCACCGCTAGCACTCAACAGCTCGATTTTTGGGGGTCAAAATTGTGACCCTCGAAATTTGTTCTTGCATGGTTCTCATAAGAATAACACAAAAACACCCAGTTGATGGGATGGTTGTGTGGACGCTTATATTTTTAAATGCTCTTTTAAATGCTCTTTCGATTTAATATCATTTCGTTTAAAACGCGTTTTGTAGCCCAATTGGGCGTATTCCAGGCTGTAATGTCCCTTTAATTTGAGAGGTGTTTGTTGGGTTAATAACTTTTTGCACAACTTATTCTCTCCGTATGACGTTGGGTGAATAACCAACGTAGGCTGGCTTGGATCACGGATCTGCTACACAAAGATAAATGACCCATCTGAGCTTGTACAAAATGTACGGAATAGATTGTCTACATGCGTGATATACCGAGTCTGCACATAGAACATGTAGAACAATGCGCGCGCACCATGATCGCCGACAGCTGGCGTCCTCACAGAAATTTGACCACTGAAAGACTGCAGTTGCGCACCAAGTCTCGTGCACGCGCACGCACGATGCGCAAGTGCCATATCACGCCTCTAACCAAAAATTTGGGGAAGTCATTTATCCTTGTGTAGAGGATTAGTGGTTGGATAAAAAAACTCTGGCTAAGTCGGCACTCTCGGGTCCCGAAAATTTGTGACAACTTACGCGAATGCCGACATCTGCTGTAAGTTGTCATTTTGCCGACTTGCATGAATGGCCTTTTTGCACACATGATTCATTGCACTAATTGGCTTCGATTCACCCTGGATTATCTCCTTAATGCTAGAGTTGAATCCAGCAAATTTATCCTCGAATTGTGCCATCATGTTTGGGGTATTGATAGTGGAGACCACGTGTATACATATGTACGTGCACAGTAATGAATTAAATGCATGCGTGGTCCGGTATATACCACGCACGCATTGAATGCAGCACAAGTCATTCAATAAGACGACCCCCAAAATGGACAGAGCGCATGCGTACAGCCTAGAGGGGGTACTGGTATTGATATGCTCACGATGCATATGCAATGTATGCGACACCGATGCATGCAGGGATCACGGGCGTGCCAAACCACTTTTCACTCGACACTTCTTGCCAACCGCAGAACAGGAAGTTGATGCCAATGCATCGACTTTTTTTGAATGCCGACTTACACAATGGATTTTGCAATGCTTTTCATGGAAAGGGGACCAAGAGTAACATGACTACTTGAGCGAAATGGCGACCTAAAAAGCCGACTTAGAAATAGAAAATTCAATAGAAATGCATTACGGACAATCGGGACTTTAGTCAGACGGCCGACTTGAGTGATTTGACAAGTTGTACGATGTCGGTTTAGCCGGAGTTTACTGTAGTATGCACCGACAATCACCCTAGTTTGAGGGTCTAGTTTGAGGGTCAAATTCAGCATAAAGCTGAATATCGTCTGCATGTATGTAAAATAAGATAGCAAAATCATGAATAATGTCCACAACTGGTTTAGTGCATGTACATGAAAAAAACAAGCAGTCCTATATAATGGAGCCCTGTGGCAGAGAGGTGAGTACGTGCTCTCTGGGAACGAATGTCCTTTGATATTTACCTTTGCAACTCAATCAGTCACTCCTTAATTATCAAACACATTTTGATTAGATGGGGCTGAAACCATAAAGCAACAATGGTGCATTGCTGTGATCAACTGAATTTTCTGCAGGTCATTTAAACAGGGTTGTCACTTACGTTGTGTATGTGCTGGTGGCAAGCATACCTTTTGCTAGTGATCATCAAGGCAGACATCTTCTGTTAAGTTCATACTCACTACTTAAGTAAACCACTGTCTCCACAGTTATCCTCATTTAATTTTACCCTGCAAACCCTTTGAATAATTTGGAAAATTTGTCAGAATCTAAGAGGCTGGTCCAAATCAAGAGAGAAGAGAAATGGAGAAAATGAAAATGAGTACAACGAAAAAGGAAAAGATGAAAACAAGAACAGAAATGCTTAACTTTTTATCTTTATGATCATAGTTTCACTTGTGTCTTCTGCATTTGCATAGTTTGTGTGTTTTATACTATACAACTTACCGTCAAAGAATGAATTGTGCAAAACAAACTTCTTTTGTGGTGCGTTTTCCAACATTCCATCGCTTTTATCAATACTGAAGAATGGTTCCACAGACTCATGCCATGTGTTGACTGCAATAGTAGACAATTTGGCCACTGGGTCCCATGGTAATGTCTGGTCTGACAGGTCTCTGTACCGATACTGGAGACAGTGGGCAGCTTGTGAAATAGAACTGATCCAAATGATTCTTTCTCTCAGGTCTGTACCTACACAAACAAAAATAAATAAAAAAAAAACAACTTCAGAAAAACACGTTAATAAAAAGTTGATATAACAGCAAATAATGATAGACACACTGAGGACAGTAAGGAAAACTAGTGTGCATCTGCTCCGCCCCCCCCCCCCCTAAGATCTCGGCCATCGAGTGACGAAAAATTTGGAAACTCGGCACATGCATAGAGCAACTCTTCCTAAACATACCCAAGAAATTTCATGACTATAGGTCAAAGGGTTTTGGAATTATGGCTAATTAATTATTCATATGTATGAATGGCAATTCTGCTCGGTGTACACGACGTATATGCGAAAATTCAGTTTTAACGGAAATTTTTTGCTACGTGCCAACCTGTGGTCCGATTTTTATGTTTTTGGTATCAAAAGATGCGCAAAGCTCGAGGCTAAAAAGTCATAACAGCTCGGGTCGCGAAAAAATTTTTTTTAGAGGCTATCGCGGAAAACGTTGAGGGGGGGGCGGATTCCGCCCCCCCCCCCCCCGGCCCCTTTAGGGTTAAAAAAAAATGTTTTTTTTTTAATAAGCTTGAGTTATCATCATGACATCATTTCTTTTTTTGTTTAATAATGAGAACAGTTGGCCTATGGGGTCCGAAAGTGACTCAAATCCTAAGAACAAACTACGGAGCTGCATATACATGTACATGTACTACGGTGCAAGTCTCAAGTTTTAGTAATACATGTGCATGTATGTGTTTGTTGAGAAAACTTTTTCTGTTGTTTCAATTAAAAATATGACTGTCCAAGAAAAAAGGGTGGAGAAGCCACATTGATTATACAAAAAACATGTATAAACAGTGTACAGGCCCCCTAATACTCTAGTGAGTGATTACATTTGCACATGTATACTGGTTTAGTTAAAAAAGAAAAAGAAAATTAAAATAAACAAAATCCTATTGTTTTAATCCTAATTACCCTGGCCTTAAACGTATGATCGAGGACAGTTTCGAACAAAAGCACCGTCGTTTAAGGAATTGAAAGGATCTTTTGTTATCCTTTTGTGGGTCTGTCCTCAATCGTAATGCCACACAAGAGAACACCCACAAACGTGTGTTCACCGTCGATCGTGGACGTCCTATTGTCCCTCTTTTGTTTGTACTCCCATAGGTTTTGTACATGATCCCAATTGCGGACGTATGCTGGGAATCGTGCACGATATTGTTCTCTTTTGTTCTCTGGTATTTTTCGTCCACGATCTGAAAAGATGAACACGTACACACGGACGGACAAGGCAGCAACAGTATGCCCCTTCAGCACCGGCGGGGCATAAAAAAAAATCAAATTGGTGTAAAATGTAATAAAATGAGAGACAGGAAGGAATTAAGAACCCAAAAAGGGGAATTGGACATTTGAGGCAGCTAACAAACAACCTAGGGTATCTGGGGATTGATATGTCGTGTAAAATGCATCACCTTTAAAGCACATTGTGGTCAATTCAGGAAATACTGCTCCCGACCCAATCCTATGTTGACGTTTGCTGACTATCTGGCTTCTCATGTAAAGATCAATGCCCCAATTGTCCACTTTTAAATTCACACTTTTTGATTGGAGATCGCTTGCAAAACTTTATACATTCACTGTGTCAAAAATTCAAAGTACCTCAGATTAAGTCAACTCCTCTTGACTGAATTTCCACCAAGGGCTCAATTTGTCATGCTCAGTGAACCCTTATATATGTTTGGCAAATTTGTAGTTTTGAGTAGATTAAGATTTAAGAAAAAAGGCTTTTTTATTTAAAGATAGTAGCCACACAAATTGACAAATTTATGGAAGGGAACCCCCAAATTTGTTGTGTGTCAATATGGACCATGTCTACTAACCTTGTAATTTGAGGGTAAATGTGTCCGTGAAGTTCTCCTCAATTTTGAAGATTTTTCTCTCCATGCACACAGTGTCAAAACATAACTTCCTACAACAGAGTAAGTAAGAAAAAACAACAGCAACTCTATATTCATGCATCACTTCATTTGGAGAAGTAAACAGAGGTTAAAATAAGTACCCTCTCATCCAAATAAAATTTCCTGAACAGGGGCGTAGCTAACCTCTTTGAAAGGGAGGGATGGAGACAACAATTCTGCTGACAGACCCTCTATGCTAAAAGGTAGCCAGTATTTTTTTGCAGCATTGCAAGGTTTAATTTGTGGAGCGAATCTATATTTCATAAACTTACATTTGCTCTGTTTCTTGGACTTTCCACTTGACGAGTCTAAAATAATTAGTTGCTGGTTCTGAATGAATTAAATATGGCTGCCTTCCCACTGCACAGTCCAAAACAAAAGCAGTCTCATCATGTAATTCTGGAAGTCCTAATGGTACAAAAAAAGTGAAAATTATTTAACCACTAGGAATAATTATACTACAAATACAGAAACTATCCCAATATATAAACTGATCTTACCAAAAACTAAATCTATTTTGCCCAGAGTATATTATACAAATAATGAATGTTTGTGAGTGCAACTGTAAAAATAATTTCATGAGGCGACAGATGAAATGTTCCATTTCACGAGGTGAAGCCGAGTGGAATGGAACATTTCATCTGTCACCGAATGAAATTATCCTTTCCATTGCACGAACGTGAAACATTCATTATTTGTTTTATAAAACACCTGAATAAATCCTTGTCATCTGATTGGTTGACTTTTAATAGCCAATTTATTTAGGTTAAGAAACTGTTTAAAAGTTTGACAAGTTCATCATATTAAATTTATGCAAACTGTTAAACAGGTTGAGACCAATCATATTCAATTTATCTTGATTTAAAACAGCGCCACCACCAGCAGCAGTGACACCATTGATCTCCATTAGTAAGACCAATAAGTGACACCGTGCAATGGAAGTTCTATTCACCATGCGTTGGGACGAATAATTCAATGACATGTGATCAACGATCCACCAATCAGATGACGGAGATTTATTCAGGTGTTGTATAAAACAGAATGTATAACACAACCAAACAATGAGATTTTCCCTAAGAACATGCATACGGATCATGCATTAGAATACAGGCTTTATGAACCTTGAAACTCATGCAAAGACTGTTTCACAAAAAAATTTGAGGAGGGAGGGGAGAGTTTTAAAACAAGAAAAGAAAAGAAAGAAAAAATAACCATTTTTTTTTTTTTTTTTACTTCTTCGTGGTTTTAACGAAGCGTGGCTAACACAACCACAGCAGTGGCAGCTGTGGCGATAGCGGCTGCAGTACTGTGGTGCTTCTTTTGCTCAAACACCATCAGGCCATAGCAACATATCGAGAGGTTCAAACTGTACCCCACATAAGTAAAACACTTGTCCTTAATTAATACATGCAATTGAAATTATAGTTGCATCCCAGGCAGAGTACAATTTGTTCTAATTCCTACCTTCAGTATTGAGGTCTACAAAGGCAACCTTCTCAGCAGCTATTGCACCAAACTTCTCTATGTTATAAGGGGTGCTGGTAGACATTACACCCGGTGTACTCTCTTGTTCTGTATAAACAACAAACATATTTCACTTTATTGACATGTCATTTTTTTAAGAAACAAAGCAGAGCTAAAAAATGAAAACCCAAAAAACCAATGGGCAACAAGCACTATTGGTACAATACAAATAACAACACTTGGGATATTTCAACTTAGGATGTACCGTGTTCTAATTCACCAGCAGCAGCCATAATGGCTACCAAAGTCTTTGTATATCATGTATGACTGGAGCTGCATATGCATCAGCAGTTGAGAAATGCATGCGGCCACAGAATGCTAAGGATAGATGTATGTACTTGACATTAGAATCAACCCACACTTTAGGCAGGGGGGGGGGGGGGAGAGGAAGAGAGATTTCTACGACATCCGTTTACCTGTAGCTGAGCAAAACTACCTAAAGTAGGCCAGCACTGTCAAATGCAGGTGGCTCCAATCGTATGACAAGAAAACTGCACAAGATGACCAGATGACAGTAAGGACGTTTGACATGCACCAGGCACGGTTCTAGAGCATGTCATTTTTTGTTGGGGGGGGGAGGGGGACTAGCACACTGTATTACCTATAGATTACAAATGCCCCCTTCTCACAACTATTTTTTGGGGGGTTGAGAACCTTTGCATGTGACATCACAATGCCGAAAAAAAATGGGGGGGGGGGGCCTAGACAAAATTGGGGGGGGGGGGGTAAAAAAAAACCTAGAACCACACCTGCCATGCACTACCAGGTGAGGAACTGGTTCCAGTTTCACTGGGAGTATTGTGCAGAGGGTTGAGTATTGTAAGAACACTGTCATAATTTACTCAGAACACGCCTAATCAAATGGTCAACCAGATTTGTATTGATTTATTACATTTCTTTACCCAGGGTACGTACAAACTGTTCAAAACTGGTTTCCATTGGGGCCCTGCATACAATAAAAATGACTACAAACACGTAGCCTATGGGTCATTCCGAGTCAAATCACCCAAACAAATTGGTTCATATTTAGTTTATGGGGTAATTTAGGCTGAAAATGCTGAAATTTTAAGCTTTATAGTGCCGTCGGACAAAAGGTTTTTGCGCTACTGCCCGCCATTGTTTGGCAATTTTGGTCACAATGGCCATTCCTTTTCATAGTCGTACTAGACTACGCTCTCCGATAAATACTTCTCCCTTCCGATGGCCTGACTCTGAAGCGTTGTCACCAAGCTGTGGTCTTGCCTGACCTTGACTACGCCGACGACATTGCCCTACTGGAAATCTCACTGAAAGCCGCGCAAGACGTTTTGAAGAGAGTCGAGAAAGCCAGCCAGGATGTCGGCTTCTTCCTCAACTCGAAAAAGACAAAATATATGCACTTGAACCCATCAACGGTGGGGCTCCTTCACGCCCTTGACGGTTCCCCAATTGCGCTCATCGAGGATTTCAAGTATCTCGGCGGACTCACAAACTCCGGGCAAGACATGAAGACACGCATAGGTCAAGCATGGGGTGCAATAAACGCCCTACACAAGGTTTGGAAAGCTTCGTGCCATATACAAGTTGTCATGGAAATCACATACGACAAATAAGAAACTGTACGTAAAACTTCTTCGCATCTCCTCCATCATCAAGCGTTGCCAACTCGCTCTTGCAAGCCACGTTTCCCGACACGACGAACTCGCAGCTAAGCTCCTGCTATGGTCGCCCAAGGCGAAGCGCCAAGTCGGCCGACCACACATCACTCTGAAGACGGTCCTTGAGAATAACACTGGGCTCGAGGGAAACGAGCTACTGTCGGCAATGATGGACAGAGTATGCTGGTGAACTGACTTTGTGAATACTCCACCAAGGCCTCAAGGCATTGGCTGACAAGAGAGAGAGAGAGAGAGAGAGAGAGAGATTTTTTCTACAAAACAAAATATCCAAAAATTAGGGGTATAATATTTTTGTTTTGTTTTTCTAGTTCATCTCAAAGTTAGCCAAATGTGATATCCCTATGCAGTGTACTAGTGGATTTAAAGTAGGTTTTGTTTCCCCTTGCAGTGTACTAGTGGATTTAAATCAGGGATTTTTGTTGTCCCTGAAATGTGTTTATGTATAGGCAGGGGTGTGAGTGGTGCTCTGTGGTGCATTTTACAGCCTCCTGGGCCAACAATTGGTCGAAAACGTTTTGCAATTTATACATGTTTTTAAGTTAACTTTTCCTTCATATTGGCTTGAAACTGCCTAAATGGCCAACTTGTATATATGAAAACTGTGTTAAAATTTAGGTTTGTAGTGCGAGTCTGCCAAAGCCCCACCCCGCAAAAAAATAAACTTCCTTTAAAGTTTGAATCTAGCTCTGAATAAGAAAGAATGCACATCGGACATCCAGGCTTTTGGATATTTCTGATCGTGTTGCCTAATTTCTGCCCATGAATGATGAACGGTGTGTTCCATCCAAATCCATTTCCAAGGATTTGTAACTTGAGGATCGGTCTTGTCAATGTCGGTATCAAACTCCCAACCTCTTTGGACAATTATGCATTTGTGTTGCACTGACATCTTAATAATGTCAAAAGTTGTCGAAAAATATGTTCGAAACGACACACTATTAAACGAATGTACGTGCAGCGGAATGCAGGCCTGCAGATGCAATGCACACATGAGCGGCGACAATTTATGAGTCTTATTTCAGGGCTTTATTTGCAACAAGACGGGTGCAAAGTGATCTTTTCAATATTTACAGGAGTTATTGTGGAGATCATTGTGTGTCACTACCACAATAGTCCCAACGCACTTCATGGCGCATGTGTGAATATTCATATTTATCTGCAGCCAATCACAGTGCAATGACTGTTGGTTCCCCGGATGCTGTTGTACACACACACGTGGCTTCGATCTCTAAAATGCACGCACATCGCATTGTATACGGCACATGTACAGTACACGTACTTGGGTGATTGTACATTGAATACTCGCTTGCATGCACCACAGAGCTACGTGTAGAGCGGATCGTCCGTGTTTTTCGCGTGCGTTCGGCAGCGGCGGAAAATAAAATAAACGGAAATAAAATCAATGCTTACGCGCGGGGGGAAAAAGCGGGGGAAATTCTGGACCATCAGAAGAAAAAAAAAGCGGAAAACAAAATGTGGCACGTTGAACAAAAAAGCAGAGATTTCACACCCCTGCTAAATCTTTTCTTCCGCTGGGCTGATAGTTATACTCACATGACACATTTAAATACTTTTTAAATGAATTTCCTTTTACAAGTCAAAGTATTTGCAGTCCGATTTGATTTCAAAATCTTACCTGAACATTTTCTCGCCGTTATGAAGTTTTGCAATGGGTGTTGTGGCAAAATTCCACCCATGTAGGCATGGTCAATCTCTGCACAATATTCCCTTGGAACATGACTTATGAGGGTTTCGCTGATGCTTAGTGCTTCTTCGATGCTGAATTCCTAAGATGATCAAGGACGAAAAACACATTGCAAGGATGCTCATTTTAATAACAGCTGCATTAAAGTATATCTACATAAAATGCACTTTCAAGCTCCAGAGCTGGCTTTCTGCAACAAATTAATTTGTTGAAGACACTACGTTCTGACACCTATTCCCTGTGATCCCGAGGGAAATATTGCCTCAATAAAACTTTTCATGACATCAGCACAGCTACTACATAGATTTTGGGAGCAAGACACGGATCCAGCCTGAAAGAAATAACAACATTAATTTGAATCAAGGTTATTATTATTCATAATAATAATAATAAAGAAGACTTGTAATGTGCCATGTCTGTCACATCGTGACACTCCTGGCGCAGAGAAATACCCCTCTTACTTTGCTGTCACCTGAGTAAAGAATAAAAATTAACCAAGTGGAAACATCATTATTGAAAGAGTTCATTCTTGAATGTGAGGTAGGAAGACTCCTTTCTCAGGTTGATTGGCAGTGAATTCCACAGGCAAGGGCCGGACTGGGAGAAAGATCGGTCTCCCCAGGAGTGATGTGAGCGGGCTACTTGAAGAAGATTTGTGTTAGAAGAACAAAGGCGTCGGGGTGGATCATGGCATTGTATCAGTTCTTGGAAGTGATGGGTGATGTGCCATGGAAAGAGCTGAAAACTAGGACCAAGATCTTGAAGAGAATTTGCTGTTGTACAGGAAGCCAGTGAAGTGCATGGAGGACCGGAGAGATATGCGTCTGGTAAGTGTGACTAATCTGGCGGCGGAGTTCTGAAAGCGCTGGAGACGATGAATTTGATAATCTGGTAAGTGTACCAGGATAGCATTAACGAAGCCCAGGCGAGAAAATACTAAGGAGTGAACCAAGCAATCAGTTGTCTTGCGTGTAAGGTACTTGCGGATGTGTAATAGATTTCGCAGCTCTGCAAATGGTGGAAATGTGGTCGTTGACAGTCATCTCTGAATCAATGACGACACGTAGGTTGCGGCACTTCTCCTTGGGGGTGACCACTGAATCTCCAAGTCTGATGGGGTGTTTAGAAGAGACCTTCATCAGGGTTGACTAAGAACCAAAGAGAATGAACTCAGATTTACCATCGTTCAGTTTCAAGTGTTCTGAGACATCCATTCTTTGCCATCTGACACACATTGCTCGAGGGAATTGAGTGCTGAGACCAGGTTGTCGTTAATTGGGGCAAACGAGGTGAACAACTGAAAGTCATCAGCATATGAATGGAAGTTGATGCCATGCGAGCGGATGACAGATCCAGGGGTTGTGTGTAAACTGAGAACAAGAGCGGTCCTCCTACAGACCCTTGGGGGACGCCATGTGTTAGAGGTGTTGGAGGGAACCTTATGCCATTGACGGAGATGCACTGATGACGGTCACTATAAGGTAGGAGCTGAACCAGTTAAGTGCCTTCAGTGGGGTAGCACGGTCATTTTTATTGGGGAGAGGTAAACATTTCTTGAAAAGGGCTTGCACATCCGTGCTGAAATGTAGACACGTTTTTTTTCCCCGGACACTTGGCCTCAATAAAATCAAATAGTGGGGATGGGGGAGGGGGGGCTGGTACCATCTGTCGAGGGGGGGGGGGCGCAATGTTCAAAGCCGACGATTGTGCACACTAATAGACAATATACAGAAATTCACAACAAAGGCAACCGGAACGGCCGATGGGACAGAAAAGGAACGACTTCTTTTTAAAAAGAGCACTTGTTCAGAAAAAAAGGGCACTTGTTAAAAAAAAAAGCAAAACATTGGGGGGGGGGAAATACCCCCCTTACCTCCCCCCCCTGGCTATGTCTATGGCCTTTGACGTGACGCCGAAAGACTTAAGCCGCTCAATCAGGACAGAATGCTTCACGGTGTCGAAGGCAGCTGACACATCAAGTAAGACTAGTGCAGTCACCCTACCACGGTCCATCTCTCCCAAGATGTGATCTGTCAGACTCACTAAAACAGTCTCTACACTTTGGTTACTCCGATAGGCTAATTGGTGGTTATCGAGTAACTGGTTGTCATCAAGATGGTTGGTGAGTTGAGAGAATGCGGCACGTTCCGCGACCTTTGAGAGGAAAGGTAGATTTGATATGGGCCTTTTGTTTTGTAAAGAGTTGTGGTCTAATCCAGGTTTCTTGGGTACAGGACATACATTGATCTGCTACCTTCAGAGAGGTAGGGAGAACACCGCACTTGAAGCCTGCGTTTATGATGGCAGTGATGGCAGGCACAACAGCTGGTAGACACTTTTTCAAGAGGTCAGTAGGCATGGGGTCGAGATTACACGTCGTTGCAGGAGATCTTACTGTAGTAGACTTCACTTCATCTACAACAGGTCTAAGACGGTCCAGAGTTGTTTCAGGGTTAGTAATGGAAATGATAAAGAGCCTCTGTTGGTAGCTGATGTAGCTGAAGTCAGGCCATCACAAATAGCAGAAACTTTGTCCTTATAGAATATACTGAACTGACATGCCAGTTGCTCAGCACCATCATGATCAGGGAGTACAGAGACTTTCTTTCGATTGAGAAGATCATTAGCAAGGTGGTACAGTTTCTTGGAATCGCCTGAACAGTCATCAACCAAATCCCGGTAGTAGGATTGCTTAGCGGATCGGATCAGAGATTGGACTGTCTGACGTTGTGCTGCGTAAATCTGACGATGGATTTTGAGCCCTGATGTCCTCCATTGTCTTTCTATTTGTTTCCTGACACGCTTTGCTTGAGCTATGTTCTTGTTGTACCGGCGGGGGTTAGTCCTGATACGGATAACTTTGGACTTCACTGGTGCATGTTTGTTCAGGGTCTCAAGAATAATGGAGTTGAAGTTACCAACTGCACTTTCAGGGTCATCGATGTCACACTGCCGAATGATTTCTTTCTTATGGAAATCATCTACGAATTTCAGTAGTTCAACCGATTTGAGGTTCCTGTAAGTGATTGTCTTCAGGCCTGGTTTGGGTTTGGAGAGAGGGAGGTAACAGAGAATGGCTGAGTAGTCGGATATACCCCCAATAACTTGAAGATTGGAGATGGTTTGAGGGTCCGAATTCCTAGACATTAACAGGTCTAGGGTATGTCCGCACATATGAGTTAACATGCTGCTGAAGACCATATAACTGCAGGAGTTCACTGTATGACGATGATTGGGTATTAACGTCATACATATGGATGTTAAAATCTTCGCTGATAATCAGAGATCCCGGATGCAGAAGGTACTGGTCCAAAAGGGTCAAGAATTCCTCCAGGAAAGTGCTGAAAGGAAGTAAAGAGCCTGGTGGACGATTGATCACTGCAACATGAGTAGAACTATCATCTGCTGTGATGGAAACTTCAAGTAGTTCAAAAGACTTAAAGGTATAGTAGTTCAAAAGACTTAAAGGTATAGTCCATCATTTGTAATTTGTGCATTTTGTTCGTTTGAAGCAACAAAAGTGCTCAAAATCTAAAGCAGGGTGCTGAACAACTAACCTGATGAAGTTTCAGCTTAGCTTCAGCAATATATTTCGAGACAAACAACATTCTAGGATCTCGATTTCAAATCAAAAGTTGCTGAATCATGTTTTGAATTGGGCCTGAATTCAGCGTCCGAGACACGTTCTCACTAGCCGATTGCAGCTACGCGATGTCGCGCACCGATCCGACGAATTATAGCAACTGCGCGCGCGTGTGCATTGTGCCAACGCTTGCGCGCGCTTCGCCGAATAAAAAAAACAGCTTAAACTAAAACGTCTTGTTTAACATAACACATTAAAATTAATTCTATTGGAATTTAATTGTTCCTGAAAACCTTTAAAAAGAAACCCTGTTTTAATAAGTAGAAAATGGCATTTATTACTTGCATGTATCCGCGACATCTGCTGGAAATTTGTACATCTGCTTGCCCCACAGCGACTTCTGATTCAGGTGCACTACTTTGCCTAAAAAGAAAAGTTAACACAAAACATTGACATGGTAAATGGCTTATCAAATAGTCATGGCCCAAAAACTTGGCCACACTGCTAGGTTGTCCTGGTTTCTGATTTACCAACCAAATTGTAACTCAACTGACATTTTACCAAGTTCTTAAAAACAATTTCTAGTTAAAATATTTTGACGTGTTGTCCGTCTTTAGAAACATCATTGACTTATGAAAAGTCCCCATTCTAAGATCAATTGTGAGGCGCCTTCCTATGAGTGATAAACACATCTATGACGCATCAAACAAATATTATTTATTGGACGATGCCATAATTGCCAATTTAACAACTGTATCTTCTTCTTTTTTTGACTGAGAAGAACAACATGAACTTTTTAATAGATTAATACAAGTAGTCATGAAACAGAATGACCCTCAGACCAATTCTACATTAAGAAAAAGTGCTAAGGAAATTAGGACACATTGAACACATATAAAGTTTAGTGAAATTGACCCAAGGGATAATTGGATAGTTTGACTTTAAGATGAGTTACTCTTTTTAAGATATTCAGCGTTTTGTGAAATCAGAAACACATAACAAGACAGGGATGACACACATTTGCTCAGTTTGGTTGTCAATTCAACTTCTTCCACCTTCACATTCTTCGCAGTTGAGGCAAGATTGAGTTGTCCGAGGATGTCCAGCTCTCTAAAGCCCAAGAGATGCATGTTGAAACTGAGGTTAGCAGCCCTCTGGAGGAACTTCAGTGCACTGATCAGATTCTCAGTCTTGTGGGTGACTCTGGTAATGTATTCTGCATAGTTCAAGTAAGAAAACCTGAACTAGCCAATGGGGATTCCTTCATCTGGAGCTTGAGCAGACAACATCTAATCCATGGCATGACGGAAGAGAAAGGATGCCTGGATATTAAGGAAGCTATATGAGGAAGCTTTTAGAGTGTTTCTTTTTTGGTGCACCCTGGCATTGGTATTGTCAAGGATTCTCATTGAGGATGAATAAATGGTCAGGGACTCCCATGTCTTTGAGAGCTACACTGCAGATCTGTCATTTGAATCAAAAGCTGCCTGCAGGTACATATGTGCCACCAGTAAGGGTTGATTATAATGTTGATGCAACTGAAACTGGGGAAGCACCTGACCATGAATTCCCCCATCCACAGAGCAGAGTTAGCTAGTACATGTACCGGTAAGTACCGTAGAGCATTGCAACATATGCCATGAGGGTGCTTATCAATTCCCTAAGATTTATTTTCCACTACCAGCACTCACCAAAAGGATTAAACATTACTAGTTGGTACTGCAGGATACCAGTGCTGGAAGATCCCCCCCCCCCACTCCCCCACAGAAGTGTGGATGAGGTCTACGAACGAATACTTACTTGTAGAGCAATTTACTTATGCATATTCCCCCTACCGGCAGGTGTTTACGCTAAGAGTTTTCACAATATAGTGCCTTCTTGTGTCCTACCCATAGTGCCTGTGGCATGTATGCCTCATGAGTGTCGTCTTTTCTCGAGCGCTATAAGTTTGAGGACTGAAACATTGAGGATAGTGGGGTAGGAGGGAGGGATGCTCTACAGGCAAGTATTTGTTCATAGACCCCATCCACACTTCTGGGGGGGGGGGGAGGGGAGAGTTAGTCTACGTCACTCTACTTATCTGTAGAGCAAGTTACTTATAGACTAGCACCGGTCACGCGAGAGGCACGTGGGTGGACAAGTGAGCCCAGAAGCCCTGTATGCTAAGGACATTAATAGTGTACAGTCAATAAGAGCACCATTAATACAATGTCCTGCCTATGACAAGGAATACTGGTAAAACAAGGTACCTGTTTTAACGAGGTACCGGTAATTGTAAAGTTTATAGTAAACTCAACATGCTAATTGAGACGTGTATTCTCGCTAGGGGAGTTTTCGCGCCATATTGACCCATAGCCTAACGACAAGTAACGTAACTACACGGTGGAAAAAAAAGGTTATGAGAGGTACAGTGATATGATATACAGTGATATGATATAATAAATATCTACACGCTATTATAATGTGTAACAAACTCCTTTTTTTTAGCGAGTAACTTTGATGTAACCATTTCAGTGGTTAGATGACTTGTACTCGCCCCAAGTTGCTCTCTACTATTTTTGTTTTGTTTTGTTATTTAATATGTTATTTTATGTTTGTTTTTTTTCATTTTATTGTCTACTTTAATATTTACTTATTGATTTGTTCGATAGTTTGTTTGTTTACTTCTTTATTGGGTTTTTTTTCCCCTTAATGTTCATGTACTTGTTTTTTTTTTGTCATATTTGTTTGTAAGATTTGTCCTGGTCGAATAAATAATAATAATAATAAATAATAATACATGTCTAGGTCTGTGTGTGTCGTTGGTCATGGTCACATCTTTTGGTGGTCCAAGTTGAGTGGTTTTGGTCCAAGGTTGAGCGGTTTTGGTCATAAGAAAGGTTAAAGGAAAACTTTGAATAGGTTTTTTTGGTCCTAGGGACTTCTGGGAGCATTGTGGCGTTGCTAGGCTTTTTTTTTTTTAAGGTGCGGCAGAAAGCTTGACAGCTCGATCAGTGCCAGCAGCTGGGCTAGCATTTATTGCCCCGCAGCGATTTGATTTCTGCCTGGATGGTGCAATTTCAGCTTCGATTGCCATTCACATTTGTGTGATTTTGAGAGATCTTGTACATCTTTTTGCTCGTGAGGGGCCCATGGATTGAGATAACATGCCATGTTTTTCCAGAGAAGAAAAGAGTCTCTTGTGACTGTGAGTATTCAGTTATTTTCTAATTTAAATGTCATGTATTTATATAAATTAATGTTAGTCATTTTCCCATAGAATGACGTGTTTTGGCAATGGCTTTTAAAAATCAGATTGAAGACGGATTGAGAGTTTTATATAGCTATGTACCTTGAAGGAATATGTGTGTTCATATTTAACGTAAGTAATCATCAAGACTTATTGTACAGTATGTGCCTTTAGGAGTGATTTTTTTCACCTCCTTTACCCCTTTCTTGATTTTTGAGAAAGCGGAAGTTAGCTACATTTCCCTTGGTAGAGAAAGTCTATAATTTGACTTATCATGATCATTATTAAGAATAGTGCAACGTACGGCGTCATATTTTGTTATTGATTGATGAGGCAAGAGCCTAGAAAATGTTTATTTTGGTAGAGTTGATATTTAACTTCAGAAATATTTTATTCAAATGGCCAACTATAACTAGTACGTGAGGTGACACACTTGACTACCCCACTGAGGCTATCAAAACCAGGCCAGTAAGAGTGAAACCCAGCCTGACTGACTGGTGGACTCTGAGTGAGGCCCAGTTTCTGTACCAGCGCAGTGGACTGTAACGGACGGTGACATGGACACCGGCTACTGTTTCCTGCAAGTTCAGAACTAAACCAACCTTGGCTTGAGGTGGGCTTGTTTCATAAACGAACGCATTCCAGAAACGGAATTGACTGTAATTGTGTCTGGCCAGACAAACTCTACAAAGAGTGATAACACTAGTTTATACTTTTGTGATTATAACTTGATATGTCTTTTATCTGAAAACCTTGACGGTTTTAAGTAAAATTGTTTGATGTAAATATGAAGTGTATAAAAAAATAGCCACCTTGTGCGTTGTAACTCTTGACTCCCAACAATTTCATATGTCTATTTTGTCCTGTCAATCATTGACATTATTATACATTGAGAATCAATTAAATCTGTGTGCACCATTTTATCAAATCACAGCTTCAAAAATGTTATTTTTCGATGGCATAATTTATCGAAGACAAAATACATGTTATATTTGATACACTGATTGACTTGTGTAATTCTTCAATCATTTTTGTTACCTCCACAACCCCATTCCGCCCAGATATGCAGCCAGGGTTCTCACCATGCCCACCCCTTTATATCACGTATCGATACCAATAAGTTGGCCTTCCCTATAATTCCTTGTGCCAAACAAAAACATACCTTTGGTTTCGGATCACCTGACCGACCCTATTTTGAAAGCAATAAAATGCGACCCAATTTTATTGGTTAGTGGAGAAAAAAAATATGACGATACCGACTTTCAATCAAAATTGGCCAAAATCACCTATCGCCAGAACAATTTATAGGCATTTTATCAGCTAGCCATTTTTTTTGTATTTCTGGTATTATGGGGCCTATCCAAAAGAAAACATCGTGGTCTAACGTCAGTCTGTGCGAACTTTCAAAATATGTACGTTGTACCAAGAACCGCTTGGGTACTTTGTCACATGCATAATCGTCATTGCCATGCAGTCCAAAAAGTCTGGTCCATGTGTCTTGTACGTGTTCCGCCGTGGTAGTGTGTGAAAGAGATTAAAATACGCTCACGATTATTTTTACGTGCCCTTTTCATCAACTTATTCATTGACTTTTCTTCGCAATTATAGTTTAAATAAAATCACATATTGTGGAAAATCGTTTAAAAAATAAGTTTTGTGGGATAAATTGTACAAAAATCGGAAATTTCGTTGGAAAAGTAAAAAAGTCGGTTTTCCTATTAAAATCAGAAAAGTTTCATCTCTGCTGTTCTAAACAAGTTGAGTGAGTTTTTGTAACATCTGTTCGGTTTTTTTGGGGTGATATTTCTTAGTCGTTATGACTACATTTCGGGAGTGACTCCTCGCACAGCACAGGTTGCCGGTCCCTCACTCCCGTTACACAATTCTTACAAGACTGTGTGCATGAGGCTTCACACAGGCTGCAAGTAGCTCATGTCGTACACACCGAACGAGGCTTCGCACAGGCTGCAAATTGCATCGTTAAAGGGAAAATACAACATTTGCAAACATCAAAAAAATAAAACTACCAAATCATTTTGAAATACACCTTGCTGGACTGTTAGTGAATGACAGTGTAAAGCATCCTGTAAAATCATGGCACCTGGTATACTGTAATTTTCAAGAAAAGTGGTATTTTTGTATCAATTTCCAACGCTGATCGGCCGATCAGCGTTGGAAAAAACTGGCTTTTTTTCAAATACTGGCCCCAGTTGACCATCGCACTTGTTTGCAATCGATTACACACCAATGAACGGGTGCATGAAACCTTGTCGCCCCCCCAGTCGCCCCCCCCCCCTCCACTGAGATTTTGAGTTTCTAAAAAAATTATCATTGATCTACATGACGCCCCCCCCCCCATGAAATGTTCCAGCCCCCCCAGCGCCCCCTCACTGAAAAATTCCTGGCTATGCCACTGCTCACAGCAGTGTTGCTGTACCGAACAAGCGAGACTTTACACGGGGGGAGTGTCCACTCACTCCTTACCTACCCTACAAGTTACTGACACATCAGTGTGATATTTTTCTTTTAGTAAATCCCTCACGCTGCACGGACTACTCAGTGTTTTCATCTTCAACACGAACGCCGCTATTTAACCGGCGATTTGCTGTTATTTATCCGGCATTTTTCTTCATCTCAAAAACAAAACAAACAAAAAATTATACGGGCATTTTCTCCTGTTCTGAAATCATGTCATCCATCATGCCCCCAAAGAAGAAGTCTTCGGTGATTCCCAACACTCAGAAACACCTCAAAGATTCATCCAGGTGCCGCCTGTGAGGAAACTGACAGCCACGCGACTGCGTTTGCCGTTACTCCACGGCCATATCCACGGGTTCATACCATGACCCCGCCTGCTCGGACCTGCAGGTACACCTAACGGGGCTGGGGAGGCAGTTTGGAATCAACCTTCACCAAATTAATCTTCTCTGTAGCCTTGATACATCAGCTTTAGCCTGCATACGAGACTGAAACTGGTCTGCAAAGAGATCTCGTCCTTGGAAGGGTAGGACTCAAGATGCTTGCGAGCTCCATCAGAGGGCAGAAATATGGCATCCAGAATTGCTGCCCGTCGTGTCTCTATGCTGAGAACTGCCCGAAGTGAGTTGTCCAGACAAAACTTACGCCATGCATAGAGCATTTACACAACAAAATTGTTTCCCAGCTGTGCAAGGTATGATAGATTGTATGAAATTTAGCAATAGCAGAGATGCAGTGCATTGTGCGCAGTCCTTACAAAATTAAGACAAGAAGCAAGCATGAGGACAACAAATAGGTCACAAACCAGTTGAAGAATTAGCTCTTCTCCTTTTTGAAATGAAATTTGTATACTTTCTTAGGAATTGGTTATTATAAGATGGAATTTGATTTAGGAATTGGTTGGCAACTATCAAGATTTTCTCATGGTAATTTTCAATTTTCTCTAAAAAAAGAACTATAGGTACATTAATTTTCTTAAGTAAGGCAATGATAGGCTTTATAGTATAAGTTACAATGGAGCTCTAAACTGTATCATAATTTGAAGTCACTCCAATTTGGATGCCATCAAACAACAACTATTAAGGGTTCGTTTCTGTAAAGAAATATTGATGATCACTGTTCAGTCATTGTTTAGTTAAGTCTATTAAATTCATTATCATCTTACCTCAATATGGGTCTATCATCAAAATGTAGCACTGATGTACCAATAAAGGGATCTTGAACGGGTTTGGCTGTTAGACAGTTACACAGCTGACTGATGTCTGGATAATGAAGCAACAGATCCTCTGGCTGGATGTTCATCAAGAAAAATATTTCTAAATGAAAAAGAAGACCTAAAAAGAAAATAACCAATACATGGTGAGATTTAAGCTATTTTAGCAAGTCAAGATATTTTGTAAAGAAAGGATTTTAGGTTTGTCACGTACTAACACATTTCTTTGGTCATTGATATGCACATCTCCTCCATGATTACATATACACACACATTCAAGTCCACACCATAGAGCTACAGGATGTCCTGAAAATAATGGTGCATGTAAACCCCGCCATTTTCGCCAATTTACAACCGGAATTTACAGCAAATGTTTACACGATCTTCAAGGTTACAGATTTAGCTTGAGAATACCGTTTGTTTAATTAAGATTGCTTTTGTAAATCCAGAGATATGTTTGAATAACCGCAAAGCTAAAAATATAAAAAATTCTGTGCCACTTTTAGGAAGCGAGTGCTTCAAAGATCAGACAATGCCAGTATGGCTCTTTTGATAAGATTATCCCTATGGGTGTAAGACAAACATTCCATTCACACGACAATATAGGGTTTTGTTCTTTTGTTGAAACAATTTAATAGTACAGACAGGTTCACTTCTTTAAAACTTCAATGAAAGAGTTCAATTAAATATAAATAAATATTGCACACTCTGCTTAAAATTAAAAAATCACTAACAGTAAAGTGATTTGGTTTTAAACTAGGACTATACTGATATAACTGCTTCACAGAAAGTGGCACAAAATGGGTTTCTTGGCTTTGCCATTATTCAAACATATCTTTGGATTTACAAAAACAATCTCAATGAAACAAACGGTATTCTCAAGCTAAATCTATTAACTTGAAGATGGTGTAAACATCCTGCTGGGCGCATCCATGTTTGTGCACAAACCTATGGAGAACTAGAAATTTTGTACATATTTTGTACGTCTATTTGCATATCTGCATTTGTATTCCATACCGGTGCGTCATCGAATCCAATACGCCCAAAACATAAACTCACGATCTGCAAAATGAGGTTTCGCTTTGCTCTACGTAAACAGCGCAACGCGTGCGCGTATCCACTGCAGATGATTAACCGTGGTTTTTTTTTTCAAACCGAACACACGCTTAAGACATTTGCGTATGTTCTACTTGTGCGTTGCATTTAGAATACACTTTCAAAATTCACTCCATCTCAATTTCATTATGTTCTACAAACACGCACATGAATTCAAAATGTCTGGGCCCAGGACGGCTTCAAATAGCGTCTCCGCGCGCAAGAATGGGGAGTTAGCGCTCTAGTAATTTAATATAGCTCTATATGATCCACACCAACCTAGCCCATGTACATGTATGGACTCAGTAGATATGAACCCTGAATGGCAACTAATGAAATCTAGGTCCATTATTTTAGACGTATTCCTCCCTGTGAATGATTTATTTGAAATAATGAGGTATTATATATAGATCAGTCAGAGCTGATTCGAATCAAACTTTGAACAGTGTTCATCCAAGTGCAGTATGTTTATTGAATGATCAAGTGTAATTGTCAGTATAATTATAATTGTAATTGTAATTTTAATATTATTCTTAGGTTTATTGTAATCGGATATTATTGTAATCTTATTTTTTAATTAATGTCCAAACATAACTTGTTCTTAAGTGTTGTTCTTAAGTGTCATTTTTATTATCTTCTATTATTCATTTATTAATTATTTTACATAGTTTAATTTTGAATGCTCGCAAGACCATACTAAATGTCAATGTATGTTTATACAGGTAACAATCAATTCTGAATCTGAATCTGAATTTGACATAAACATGTCAAATCCATAGGGAAAAATGTGAAGAAATTTCTCAAATTTTAAGTGTGAAAATACTGAAAATCGCCGTATACGGTAGAGATTTGACTTAACACTCCAAAATCTTTATTCTGCCACACTTTGATAAGTGCACTCTCAAATTCTCCATTTCTAAACTTAGATCATCATTTCATGGATTCACAGCCAACATGTCACCTTAAATTACGGAAATTGTATGCCATTTTCAAATTTAAAGGAATATATGATGATTTGCATTTTATCCCAAAAGTAACCTACCAAGTTATTTATCAAAAAGTTTTATTCCGTCTGGCTTGCTGTCATTTAGAAGAAATCAAGTAATGAACATGTAGGTGATTTCCAACGATCGGTCAATCGACCCAATTTTGGAAATAATGAAAACGTTGTACATGGTTTCACTGTTTTTCAAAAATGTAATATCCACTGAGCTGAAACTTCAACAGATTAGGTTTTGAACATTCTTCTTTTGATTTTGAGTGGTGTTGCCATTATATACATGTGCATGAACATTGAATATACATTCATTACCATTATCAAAGAAGCCAATATCTCTTGCAGAATCAGGTTTGGCCAATGACTTCCTTTTCTTTGTAATGTCATCCTTAACTTCAGAGCAACAGTCTTGCTTCATTGGAGAAGACTCAGGTACAGAACTTGGTATGACCTCAAACATCTCTCCATCATGATGAACAAATTCAATGGTTCTACTGCTGACATTTAATTTAAAAAAAAGCAACATTCAACACTTGTCACAAGTATCAAATTCAAGTGAATTACCAAGATACATGTACATGTACCACTAATAGAAGTTCAGAAACTTCAGACTGTTACTCAAGTTTGCCAAATCCTAAACTTGAAGGTCTGCTAATGAAATCCAGTTTATGTTTATCTGTGTGTCTATTTACATACAATTTTTTGGGGACTACAATCAACCGTGTGTATTATGCCCTTGATCAGATTCACTATGCACTGGTACGGTACGGTAGCTTTATGTGCATGTAGGTACATTAACTTGAAAACACCCCCCCCCCCCAAAAAAAAACCTTCTCTTTCACATCTAAATAATGCTTACATCACTAACTGAGGAGCACTTCAGTCAACTTGCACATTTTCTAATAAATGTACACATTTTAGAAAGTCCTCCTCTTTTGTTTTATACCCTGAAGTATGTTTCTGGTTTTCACTACAGCCCTGAGCAAAGACAAACCGATTGAGGAACCACCAACAACGGGCTGAATAGCTCAGTTAATGGAGCTCAGCTACACTATTTCCAATAGTTTGCAGCTTGTGTTCTACCACTAAATTTCTTTGCTTGTCAGTGAGCAGATATCAAAAAAACATGAACAACATGTAATTCAGATTTATTTTTTTTCATCCTGTGTGGACTTACGGCCTATGTGATTATTTCAATTGTTAATAATTGTGCCGACTGTTTGCAGCACAAACAATCAGTACAGATATGGGCTCGGCAGGACCATCTGTAGCCCTTTCGGAAGTTTCTGGTGCGAGCCAGGGAACAATTGGTACATTGTCCTCTAGCATGCAGGGAAGGTGCCTGGTGCAGACTGAGCAGCCGTCACTAGTTTGGGTAGACTTGTGTGTAGAAAAGGGAAAGTAAGGATCGATTTCCTAAACCCCTCTCCCTTATCCAGCATACTCAGAACCGTAGCCATCGGTTGTGATTTCTTACGTGAGGGCCTGTAAATTAATGCAATCAGTTACTTCTAGCCTCCATCTTTGTCTGGAACTGTTTCGCTAATAAATCATCGCCCTATAAAGGAAGGGTCTCCATGCATCTTCTTGCATCTTCATTGCTCCATGCATCTTCTTGAGAGAAAACACATTGTGTCTAACAATGAAGTATACGTAGTTGACACGGCTGTATTGCACTCCTCAGAAAATTCACTGTTATTAATGGAAACACCGCAAAAATCATCTCCCTAAGCCAATAAGCCTTCTCAACTAACAGCATAGAACATGGCCAACGCATCAGAATCATCGAAGACAATCAGAACCCGAAGAAAACGGCATTCGAAAAAATATGTCACCCCGCTGTCCCCAAATGACGTGGATCGAGATCAAGATGGCTGCCATGCCTGCACCTGCAGAGATGACATCACAGCTATGAACTCTAAACGAGATAAGATACTACAATCTCTTGATACAATGGCCACTAGAATGACTGGAATTGAAGTGAAGCTCCAAGAGTCAGTAGAAAAGATCGCCATGCAACAAAAAGAAATAGAGGAGCTGAAAGCTACGGCTTCGCATCTGGATTAACAGCAAAAGGATATCAAGGAAAGTGCGGATAGTCTAACCCATGGAAACCATCTCCATATCGGCCAACTTGAAAATCAGATTGATGATCTTCAAAACCGTAGTCGCAGGAATAACATCGTCGTGCACGGCATCCCCGAAGGCTCAGAAGGCGATCAATCCTGTGAGGAATTTTTGTCCGACTTTTTCATATCACATATGAAAATAGAATATGGTCAAGATATCTAAGTTGACAGAGCCCACCGTACCCCCGCACATCGATCATCACAAGACAGCACTGGCACCCGTAACACCCGGCCACGTCCCATCCATTGTAAGCTCTTACGCTTCAGTGATAGACAAAACATTCTCAAACAAGCATCTAAATCCTTGCGGAACAACCCATTCAAAGGTGCGAATATCTTCATCTCAGATGATGTCACCAGCAGAGTCAGAAATGCCAGGAAGCAGTTAAGAGATTACCACCTGCCAAGAATAAGAAGCGACGAGCGGTTAAATTCGCCTACATTCCATGGTCAATTCCTCCAGTCATCACCTACAAGCTCCACAGCGGTGCATTTAAAGTCTACAGATCTGGGGATGCCAACCCACTCTAATGGCTACATGTCCACGGATAAATGTATGCATGCAATTTTATACTTATTTGTTGTGTTTATTTTTCTATGTGTTCTGGTGTAAGGCAGCATATCACAAATGTTTACTCCCATTCTATTCGTTTTTGATATTCAGTAGTTTGTTGTAAATATGCTTAATTATTTGAATGAGTCAAGCAATTCATGACTCTGGTATGAATAACAATATAGATCCTGATTTAAATCTTCAAGTACCGGAAATCCCATGTCAATATTATGACCAAGATGAGTTCCTGAATGTTTTTAAATTCAGCACCAATACTAAATTACTGCATATTAATGCTCGTGGTTTGCCCAAAAATATAACAAGTATTATTCAATATGTAAACTTATTGCAAACAAGCTTTTCAGTCAAAGGGGTTTCAGAATCATGGTTAAAGGACATAAATGATCCCTTAGTCCAGATTCCAAATTATACATTGGAAGGTTCCTGCAGACAAAATAAAAGAGGTGGTGGAGTTGTACTTTATATAAAACAAGATCTTGTGTATAAAATTTGTAATGATTTATGTATTAACAACTCTGAAGCAGAATCATTTTTTATAGAGCTTGTTAATTCCAATAAATCAAATGTTATCATTGGAATTGTCTATAAACCCCGGTGTTTATCATGTAATAATTTTACAGATCATTTTGAGGAAATATTAAGTCGTTTAGATACTGAGAACAAAAAATGTTATATTTTGGGTGATTATAACATAAATTTAATGCAGTGTGATATCGATAATACTGTGCAAAATTTTATGAATATTCTTGATTCTCAGTCATTCTATCCTACCATAAACAAACCGACTAGGATAACTATTGATAGTACAACTTTAATTGAAAATATCCTAACAAATGATTATTTGAACCATACTTCAGGTGTTCTGATAACTGACATCAGTGACCATCTTCCGGTATTTTTTAATTATTGATAACTTTAGAGAAAGTGCTCAGGCTAATACAAATTATAAAAGGCGAGTTTTTGGTAACGATAATATTGAAAATTTTACTCATGATCTGAATGAGACTGATTGGGATTGTATAATGTCATCGAATGATATCCATTGTATGTATAATAACTTCTTGGCTCATGTTAAACAACTCTATGACAGACATTTTCCTGTGGTTGAAATTAAGTATCGTTATGATAAATCAAAGTCTCCGTGGATGTCCGAGGGTATCTACAACTCAATTAGAAGTTTCTTAAAAACCGTACTTCACAGAACAAATTTAATTATACTTTGTATAAAAATAAAGTCGACTCTGTTATAAAATTATCAAAGAAAAATTATTTAAGCAAAAAATTTAATCAACAAAAAAATAACATTAAAGGTACTTGGAAACTTATAAATTCACTACTCAATAGGCGTAAACAAAAAAAGAACCCTACGTATTTCAGTACTGGAAGTAACAAAATCACTGATAGCAAAGAAATTGCTGACGCCTTTAACACGTATTTTGTTGACATAGGAAGCAAACTTGCCAGTGAGCTACCATTATGTAACACTCCTATTGAGGCATATCTACGTGAAAGGTGTTCGAATTCACTCTTTTTGACTCCCATTACGCAAGAAGAGATTGTGGACACTCTGAACAAAATTCCTCCAGGAAAGGCCCCTGAATTTGATGAATAAATCTCTTGTTATTAAACAGGCCAAGTATTCATTGGCTAAACTGCTGGCTGACATCTTCAATAAATCCCTAACAGCTGGAGTTTTTCCTGATGGGTTTAAATAGCTCAGGTTATACCGATATATAAAAAAGACTCCAAACATGACATTGGAAATTACAGACCCATCTCTGTTTTATCAACATTTTCGAAACTATTTGAAAAGTTATTCTATACATGATTAATATCTTTTATATATAAACATGACATTCTCTCGGAATCACAATTTGGCTTTAGATGTAATCACTCTACTGATTTAGCGACATCTTATGTAGTTAACAAATTGTGTAATGATACAGATGACAAACGTTTTTCTATTGGTATATTTCTGGATTTATCGAAAGCATTTGATACAGTTAACCATGATATCTTGATTCGTAAATTAGAACATTATGGTATCCGAGGAATAGCCCTGGACTTATTTAAAAGTTACTTATGTGACAGATCCCAGTATGTCTTGTATAATTCTGTAAAATCTACAGAACAGCCTATTACTTGCGGTGTACCACAGGGCTCTGTATTGGGTCCCTTATTGTTTATCTTGTACATTAATGACATCTGCAACACTTCAGATATTATTACATTTTGCTTATTTGCAGATGACACAAGTTTATTAAATACTGACAAAAATGTAGACCTAGCGGTACAGAACCTTAATCTTGAGCTCCGGAAAATCACTACTTGGCTTTTAGCCAATAAATTATGTATAAATGTTCTTAAATCTAATTATATAATATTTTGTGCTAGCCAGTACAAGTACACTCAGTCTGTTCCTATAATTTTAAATGATACTAATCTTGATCAGGTTAAGGGTACCAAATTTTTGGGAATACATATTGATGAGAACTTAACTTGGAAGAATCATATTGACGTTATAACAGCTAAAATATCAAAAAATATTGGTATAATGAACCGTCTAAAATATTTTTTACCCAGTAGCATATTACTAACCTTGTACTTGTAACTCATTTGTTTTACCGTATTTAAATTACTCAATTCTGACTTGGGGTAGTCCAACTCCTAAATGCAACAAACTGCTTACTCTACAGAAATGTGCAGAAACATATCAGAAACATGTCGGTCAGGGATTTTTTTGGGGGGGGAGGGGTATACAAAGTACATACATGGCTTACCATTTCTTATATTCCATTCGGTTACCAGTTCCCCCTCTACCAACCTTCACAAAACGTTTAGGCTATACATGTACGTACTGTACGCACCAACTACACATGCATGCGATACAATGTACCAGACTTGTATTTGAGTCACGAAACATCAAGTCCAAGTCCAAGTCCGAGTCACATTTCTCGAGTCCAAGTCCGAGTCACGAGTCACCTCTAACATTGTATTGGAAAAACGTACATTTTAGGGAATTCAGAGATTCAGAGTCACCTTTGATATAGTAAAAGGTGGCGATCGAAGTTTGACATAGTGCCGGTTTTCTCCTCTATTTTCCTCTTGCAGAACTTGCATTCTGCACTTGATCTTCCATTGGCATTTCTCTTGAAGTTAAGATTGACAATTTTTGGAGTGGATGCCATCATGATCTACGTTGCAAGTTGCATGTAACGTTACCGAACGGGCAGATCAGCAGACTATTCATATCACGTTATTGCGATGCGACAGCAATACACGTGTGAACGACAGGACGTCTGACAAGAAAAGTCTAGTACCTTACCCTATCAATCTTGCACCAATGCAGTATTACGTGCGGACGGCGGGGTACAAGTTTCGGTACATTGATTTCTTCAATCAATATATCAGTAACCAGCCACGGCGGCCATGCACGCACCGCATCGAGTGCCCTGTACATGTATTGCACAGTAAAGAAAACGATCAACTTACGTATGTGCGCGTGTGCAGTGCGGTAATTTCCGTCGAGTCACAAGTCAGTTTGAGTCCAAGTCCGAGTCCAAGTCCAAGTCCGTAGCCCCGAGTCCGAGTCCGAGTCGTAAGTCAAAGTGACTCGAGTCCGAGTCCAAGTCATTAAAAATGTGATTGAGTCGGACTCGAGTCCGAGTCCGAGTCCGAGTCACGAGTCATACAAGTCTGCAATGTACCGGTAGAGTGCATGTATGTGCATACGATGCATGCAGTACATCACACCACATGCTCCAGGCCTCAGTTATACACTGTAGGCCTACATACAAAATGCAGTAAATTCCAACTGTATATATATACGTTTTGAAACGAAATGCGAATATGGTATTACAAAGAAACAGTAATGGCAACATTAAAGTTCATTTAATTTTTTCAAGTGAAAAAAAAAAAAAACCAGACATTTTCAGATTAGTCGGATGAGGGCAACAAAACAGTTTTTTATTTTTTGCCTAAAGATGACTGTGGAATCAACATCAGATGACTTGTCGCCTTCTACCACTGTTTCTAATTCTGCCATATGCACAGGAGGAGGTCTACTTGAATATGCATCCAAATCTGATTCTAGCACTGAGTGTCATTCCTGATCTTTAGACTCCTCCTGATATGGAGCTGCAGCCAATTTCACGAAACCTTACGCAATGGCGCAACTCTGCTTGCGCTACAATTTATTGCGTAAGTTGCGCAACATTCCACGCTGCGCAACATTTCACTTATGATTCATTTCACAAAAGTCGGATAGTGCATAAGTCCGCAACTTGCACAATAAATTATGGCGTAACTTGTGCAATCATTTTAGGTGGCGTAAGTTGTGGCGTAGTGACTGAATATGACATATTTTACCAGCAAATCGGCACTTTTGTAGAATCCGTTATGGCACAACTTAACAAGGTTGATAAAAGACGTTTGAAGTAAATGAATTTCTATTTTACTCGCAACATAATTTTTAGAGTTGCCGACTGATTCCGAAGAAAGTCGGGCAAAATTATTTTCAAAATGGCGGGTTGAGGTGATCCAGAAGCTGTTTCACGAAAGAACAAATTCACACACAAACAGCTGTCGTAAATGCTGTTTTTATCCTCGTCCAAGATGTTTAAATTATTGAAAATGTTGCGCAGCTACGCCAAGTTTAGCGAAATCGATCATAATTTTATTGCGCAGCTGCGCAACAAAGTTGTTGTGTAAGTCTTATGCATGGCGCCCGCTACACACTTTTTCGTGAAATCAGCTACTGGAGATATTGCCTGACACTTGTGCCACTAATTGCTCCAGTGTCAGATGTAATCCAGCAGCTGATTCTACCAGACTGATTGAGGCCAGCTCTTCTTGACTATTTGGACCACCATGGCCATGGGAGTAGCCTATGCAGACTGCCGTTTCTCACACTGTTTTATGGGCCCGAGGACTCATAATTTAAATAAAAGTTTGTATTAAAAGAATGTAATTCAAAATACCAATTTAGAATTACCGTAGGCTTGTAAGTGAATACTTTTCCAAATCAACTCTACACCACCTCAGCAGCGATGAAACAAGGTCCTCAGTCTCTGTTTTGCAATACAGAATCATTTCTGAAAAGTAGAACAAAATAATATTATTATTATTTATTTGACCAAAACATGAACGTCATGAAACTAGAGCCATGTCTGTTCGATGAACAGAACATAGGCTTTTCTGCAATTTTTGTTTTAATATATATATTCAAGAAACATATTTGAGAATGCATAAAAGCATTTCAGAAGAAAATGAAAAAAAGTTTATAAATTACTAAAAAAATTAGGTGATGACGTCATCATGAATTCTTTTCAGATTTTGTATACTATTAACAGTATCTACCTACCCACCAAGTTTCAAGTCAAGCAGACTTACCCTTATATGTGTTTTTAAAAATCGCAATTTTGATGACGTCTTCGTGACTTCACATATTTTGGCCTACCTATTACCTAACAAACATAGTACCAAAAGAATTTTGAATTTAGCATGTTGGGTTCGAGAAATATGGTGATAATTATCAAAACTTCAAACATCGATATAAATCACACGATGACGTCACAATGACGTCACCTCAATTATTACCAATAACACATCCCGGTCTACCTACATACCGAGTTTCAACCCAGTTGGACTTACAGTTCTTTAGATATAGGGTCTTAAAGTTTGCACATTTAAGATGACGTCACGTGACCCATGATAATGTAATCACCAGTGTTGTAGTACTCGTACTCGGTACTCATACCCGAGTACTACTCGAGTACTTATTTGAAAGTACTCGTACTCGTACTCCTACTCGTATTCGAATTCGTACTCGAAATGACGGTACTCGTACTCGGGCAGCAAAGTACTCGTACTCGAATAGCAGTACTCGGGGGGGGGGGGGGGGGGGGGGAATGGTATAGCATGTCTTTATATACCGCGACCTTATTTTATTGATACTTTCAGTTTGAAATGGTTGGTTGGCTTGTGGAGAAATCGAAGTTTCCTGATTTTCCTCTATGCATGCACGTCCGGACAAACACATTTAACATCTAGCCATGATGGTCTATATGGGTCTGACTGGGCCTGGGCCGCAATAGCCGTATTTGGAAATACAAATACTGGTACTCGTACTCGGAAGTACAGTACTTGTACTTGTACTTGTACTCGCAAGTACAAGTACTCGTACTTGGTAACTAAGTACTCGGCAGTACTCGGTATTCGGAAAAAAGTACTCAACTACAACACTGGTAATCTCAACGTCACTCTTCGAGACACAAACTTACTATTGGGTCTTCACATAGGTTAGGTTTCATTACAATACGAGTTTGTTTAAGGTTAAAAAACGTGTACAAAGTCTATGGGATTTTGGGTGGAATAAAAAGGGAAAAATCAGAACAAAAACAATTCTTTTCCACTTTAAAGCGGAAAAGCAATTACAAGAAAGTGAAGCACAAGGGGAATTAAAGCACAAAAATATAAACACTCCAAATTAATAAATAAATAGAACCATGAAACAAAACAAACTTACAAGAAGGATAAAACCAATGACAGGATGTCATAAACAAATACAAGACATAATCAAAAACAAATAGAATAAAAAACACAAAATTATACAAACAAAATATGTGGGTCTGGGAAAAGCAAAAGTAAACTTAAATACCGGTACTATTACCCGCAGGTATGCATTCCCGCACATAATTTTAACAGGGACAAACAAACGTTTGAGAAAAACCATTACAGTACAAATTGCCTGGCAATACACCTGAATAAACTTGTGATGGCATGTACCGGAAAACAAAAAAAAAATTATCAGGAAAGAAACACTTCACATCTGTTAGAAAATGAGAGAGTGAGTTAATGACAGCAGAGTCCTTGATGTGGGAGGGTAAAGCGTTCCAAAGTCTCGGATATTTACGTGAAAAAGAGCTGAGTACGGGCAGGAAAGTGCACGGAATGTGAGTGAATCAGGGTGTCTTGGATTGATGAATGCGTTATCAGTAATAGTGTCACAATTACATTGTGCAAATGCCATGAGCATTTGTATACGAAGGAACATGTAAAAAAAATCACGTCTGGATGAAAGAGACAGCCAGTTCAACCGGTCCAACCATTCCTCAAATGACATCTGACCTCAGCTTTGTTTCGAAGCCATGCAAGTTGCAATTTGCTGCACACGTTCAAACTGCTGTTGTTGGGATAATGTGAGTGTGCTCCAGGAAGGGGGCCGTACTTGAGGATAGGTAGGACCAGGGATTTGTAACGAAAGAAAATTGCGTGGGATGAAGTACCACCAGCAACTGTACGAATAAATCCTAGGAGATAATTAGCGCGGGAAACTATTGTTGCTTTCCCTAATAGTAGCTCTATAACATTATATTGGAGTCAACAATTATTAAAGAAGTTGGAGGGAAACAGGACTTTGGGTGACAGACACACATGTCAATACTGGTTTATTATTTCATCTCTTCACTTCATTAAACTTTGTGCGGATAAGGCCGCAAAAAAAAAGTCTCCGGTTTCTGGTATGCGCGCGCGTCGCCGTAGCCATGCGCGTCGGCAAAATGAAAAAGTTTTTTATTCAATGAAAGATGATGTCTCAAAACTGCCAAACTCACTGGTTTGACAGGAATCCTGCTGCTGCACAATTTTAACGTGTTTTTAGATTGGGTTATGGTTGAGAATAAGCTTTATGTGGCCTCTCTGGACTCCCATCTAAGTTTAGTCGGGCACCATTTGCAGTCATCAGCCGACATTTCAATGATTTGAAGCAAAAAAATCAGGTAAAAAAAAAAAAAAGAAGCCGCGTTGCCCCACCACTTTTTGGGCAAGCTCCATACCAGAAACCGGAGACTTTTTTGGGGGGGCCTAACCTAGGATTTTTGCTTTAGTGTTTTAAAGTTAATCAAATTGATGTCTTCAATATAAGTCTCACAAAGTCTTTACTGTAACTGCATGGCGGAACCATCTTCACCAAGTAAACCAATGATTCTAGTTGAACCAAGTGGGCACCGGCACAGTACAGACAACCCGGAACGATGTGGGAGTGGACCAATACGGTGACCAGGGGAGGAAACAGCTGGACAGGGCTAGGGAGTGTATACCGGACTACAGTTCGAGCCAGTGCATGTGGTGTACATATCCAAGGTCAACTGGGGTGTGATCCATTGGATAGATAGACAAGACCGGTGTTACTACGGTAACTTAGTTGAATACGGGGAATTAATGGCTAGATCAGGAGCCAGGGGGCCCATATAGCAGGAATGGTTCGCAATGGTGACGGGCGGGTACCAGCTCTGGACGGGGCTAGAACATCGGCCAACTGAATCAGTTCAGGCTAAAATTAGCAGCTTAATTAATGGTACATTAATTGAAGCCGCACCTTGGAACTAGTGCTTACTACTTCTCCTGGCCTCAATCATGCCTCGACCTACAATGTAGGGAAGATTCATAATAATACTAGACCTAGTGAGTGTGCTACTATTTCTCCTGCCCTACAACCTCTTTTGAAGAGAGCGGAGCTTCGTTATAGCACTTCACTTTGGGGATTGCTTTGCACAACAATTGGTCTGCCGCACAACATTCAAGTTCGCTGCACAACATACATTGTATGAGTTTGCCGCACAACATACATGGGAAGAGGAACTCTAGCTCACTGGGGTGAGGGGATATGTTTGGTCGGTCATGTACATAAATAGCCACATGAATAATGAATGCAATAGCGCGTATGGTATTGCATCACTAGGCATGCGCTGGGCTTGGTAAGAGACCCTTAATGTGCAAGTTGGCAATTACCGTATAATACATGGGTAAATAAGGGAGCCATAAAAGATCACAACATTGTGTACTTCATGGACAGTATATAAAACCATTTCAATATTTAAATAATCATGGGTTTTGGGTTCGCAACATGAACTGATATTGATGAAGAGATATTGAATAGAAGAAGCAGTGGATAAGGAAGTATTATTCTCAGACTGATACTAGCACACACACAATAAATTGGTTTGTATAATGGAAAAAATCAAGGATGATTTTTGTTTTATTGAACTACAGGAGACAGTATACATTTGATGCACATGCCTCAATTACAACAGAGGCACTTGTCGATTTAAAGAAAAGTGTAGATTTAGTCATACTTGCCTGGTTCCCTCTTGTGGAAAGCAGCATCCTTCTAGCCAGCATGGCGACCCAAAAAACTAGACATCCCTGGCATTACTTTGCCAGTGGCCAATCCAAAAAAAACATCCACTTGTACCTGTCCACTGCCCATTGACATTTGGCAAGCTGAATTAAAAAATGACATGGATGCTGTATTTCTGCCATTGTAGAAGTTAATAACTATTTGTCAGCAACCGGCCCTTCCCATAAGCACTTAGTTGAGGCCCAAATTAAGTCCGAAATTGCTGAAGGTAACTATGTTATTTGTGACCCAATCCACAGTAAACCTTCAGTTGTCAGTGCTCTGGGTGCCATACCCAAACCAAAGAAAAACGAAGTTCATTTAATTCATGACTGTAGCCGACCAAGTGGCTCAGCACTGAATGATTATGCAACGATCAACAAAGAACACTTCGCGACAGTAGTGTAGACTGCGTATTTGACCCTGTTTTTTTGTGGAGGATCATGATCCTCATCGAGGATCATATCGGTAACCCCGATGAGGATCATGAGAGGGGGATGTGGCTGTGGGGAGGTGACCAGTGGCGTCGCCAAGGGGGGGCCAGGGGGGGCACGTGCCCCCCCCCCCCCGGAAAACCTAGTGCCCCCCCGAGTGCCCCCCCATCAAATGCTGGTGCCCCCCTATCCTCTGCAAAATTCTGCGCGTTGTTAAAATCATTACCTCAAAAATAGCAATTTCTGGAGATATCTTCAGATCGAATTTAGCATCAAATGTGGCACCATTTTGCATCTAGCCCATCCTCCGTATGCGAAAATTTTCCAAAGGGGAGGGGGGTACCCCCTCCCCTTAGACCCCTCCCCCAGGATGGCGATTCGTATCCACCTAAGTGCCCCCCCCCCCATCAAATGCTGGTGCCCCCCCTGTGCCCCCCCAGACTGAAAAGTCTGGTGACGCCACTGGAGGTGACGTCACGAT